TGTAACTCCAAAAGCAAAAAGCACATTAGAGGAAATGATTAAGTCTTTAGACGCCTACCAGGAAGAAGAACTACAGAGAAAAATATGTAAAGCTAAACTAAAATTAAATGAAATAATTGAGAAAGAACCCAGTTCGTAGCACAAAAACTGCAAATAGAAAACTGTGAACATTGTTAGAAATCAGGTTTTAGCTAACCAGTTGAAAATAAAGAGGAAACAGTTGTGTGAGCTGTTGAAGGACTTGCCTCTAAAACCCAGGCCACTGCATTTATTGGCTGTTACCCGGGACTGCTTCAAGTCCCTGTGAGGACTGTAGAGAAGTGGCACACTGCATGGCCCAGGATTTCAGTGATCCAAACTGCTAATGTCCCTCTGTTGCTGACTACACAAGCATTCTTGTCGAAATGCATCTGTCACTAAAAGCTGACGGATACCAAAGAAAAGAGGAAAACACCAACATTAACACTTCTTTTATTTGACTCCAAAGCAAATTCCAAAATGGAGTGGTCCAGCCGTTCTGGCATGTAGCCTCCTCTGTTGCTAATGTTGTTAAATTTTGCATTGTACACTCACACGTGTTTTCATTGGTCGATTGCAGACCAGAGTCGTGGGTTTTCTGATACTGCTGGAAGACTGTTGGAGACGGAATGAGGTCGAGAGAGTGCACGGTAACCTGGTCAGTAAAGCTCTTGGTCCAGCTGGGTTTCCAGCAGAGTTCTCTAAAGAATTCTGGATCATTCTGGCTCCAATATTCTTCAGGAAGATGCATGAAATTGAAGAAAATGGCATGCTACAGTCAACTATGAATTCAGCCAATATTATAAACCTGTAGTCTCATGTTACAACCAGCAGTCTCATTTATCAACTGTACTTACGCACAGATCTGTGCGTATTTTGTGTGTAGGAACTATACTCATTGTGTGGTATTTATCATTTTGTACTTGTGTGTGAAAAGGTTCCTAAACATAAGAAAACCTCTGACCATGCGTACAAACAGCATCTAGTAGTAGAACGGAACAACCGCAATACTGAAGGTCTCGCCCACACACGTTCCTCGTCCATAAAGTATTTTACCTAATAAATAATTGTTTTGGTGGAAAAACAGCTGTGTCGCATAAATGGTGCTAAAACCAATAAAAGACACCTGCGACCAACAGACGTTGTAACACGACTGATGTCTGGCCTGTTTCAACACTAGGCTTGTGAGGCCTTGGGATTGGGCTGCTCACCTTCTGATCAGTGGTCAACCATCCTTCTTGTTTAGCCACTGCCACCCTATGATACGCAGTTGATGTATTACTTTCTCTCCAGCATTCACAATCCTTTCTCTTTTAGACAATGGAATGGATAAACTCATTTTCAAGAGTTTCAGATTATTCAATAAACTGGTTAAAGTCTAAAGTTGTTCCAATAAACTGCCTTTTTCTCAGTTACCTTAATACACAACTAACAAGAAAGATTATGTACTTGTGCATAATTGTCTTTCCCAGGCTGGCAGATTTAACTAAAATTAACCACATGCCAAAACTGAACAAAGTGGAAGATGACCTTGTCGGGTGGAAATCGCTACTGATTTCACTCATATAGAAGTTTGCTTCAATTAAACAGGGCAGCAATAGATCAGGAGGTAGAGTGGGTTGTCCGGTAATCAGAGGGTTGTAGGATCAATCCCGGCTCCCGGCAGAGAATGCTTCTGTTGTGTCCGTTAAGACACTTCACCCAACTCGTCTACTGGTAGTAGTCAGAGGGACCGGTGGTGCCAGTGCTCAGTAGCCTCACCTCTGTCAGTGCACTCCAGGGCAACTATAGTTAAGATGTAGCTCATCACCACCAGCATGTGAATGTGTGTGTGCTTGTGTGGATGGCTGGTTGTGTTGTAAAGCACCTTGGGGGTTCTAGGACTCTAGAAGGTGCTATATCAAATACAGGCAATTTACCATTTAAAATGGTGGGGTTACAACAATCTACCTCTTATTCCCAATTATCCCAAGCAAGCCACCGTTTAACTGGTCTAGATCACTGGAATCCTCCATCTCTAAATTCCGTTGGAACGATAAACCTCAACATAGCAGCTCAAAAACACTACAGAAGACCAAAGGCAGAAGACCAAAGGCACAGTGGGGCTGACTCTACCCAACTTTTATCATTATTTCTTAGCCATCAGGCTCCAAGACATATCAAGGGTTGAAGCACCCTCCAAGGTGCTTTACAAGTCACTAGTTATTCTTTCATTCACACACACATTCACACACTGGTGGCGATTAGCAAAATTTAAGCCACAGTTGTCTTGGAGCTCACTAAAGATGCTTTTCCGGGAGCACTGCTCAGAGTAGCTCGGACCAGTGTAGCTCGGCCTGACTGCTGTACCAAGGGCATGGTTCGGCATTTCCCCTCTACTTTCAACACTATTTTAGTCCCTGCTCCGCTGAGGTACCTGGTAAGGCTGAATTAGCATTGGGGATCTGGCTGCTGATTGGCTAGGGGGGTGGAGTCACTGCTCCAGAGTTTTCGCAAATCATCCATTTTCATCTGCTTATCCGGAGTCGGGTCGCGGGGGCAGTAGCCTAAGGCGAGAGGCTTAGGCCAGCTCCTCCGGGGAAATCCCAAGGTGTTCCCTGGCCAGGTGAGAGACATAGTCCCTCCACCGTGTCCTGGTCTACCTTTAGGTCTCCTCCCGGTTGGACGTGCCCGGAAAACCTCACCAGGGAGGCGTCCAGGAGGCATCCTGACCAGATGCCTGAGCCACCTCAACTGGCTCCTCTCGATGTGGAGGAGCAGCGGGTCTACTCCGAGACCCTCCCGAATGACTGAGCTTCTCACCCTATCTCTAAGGGAGAGCCCAGCCACTCTTCGGAGAAAACTCATTTTGGCCGCTTGTATCCGCAATCTCGTTCTTTCGGTCACTACCCAAATCTCATGAACATAGTTGAGGGTAGGAATGTAGATCGACCGGTAAATCGAGAGCTTCGCCTTCTGACTCAGCTCTCTCTTCACCACGACAGACCGGTACAACGCCCGCATCACTGCAGATGCAGCACCAATCCGCCTATCGATCTCACCCTCCAGTTTTCCCTCACTTGTGAACAAGACCCCGAGATACTTTAACTCTTCCACTTGGGGCAGGACCTCATCCCTGACCCGGAGAAGGCATTCAACCCTTTTCCGAATCAAGACCATGGTCTCAGATTTAGAGGAGCTGATTCTCATCCCAGCTGCTTCACACTCGGCTGCAAACCGCTCCAGCGAAAGGTGAAGATCACGTTCTGATGAAGCCAACAGGACCACATCAAAACGGATGCCCTCCACACCTTTCTGCACCTAGAAATCCTGTCCATAAATGTTATGAACAGAATCTGTGACAAAGGGCAGCCTTGGCGGAGTCCAACTCTCACTGGGAAGAAACCCGACTTACTGCCGGCAATGAGGACCAAGCTCTGACAGCCTATATCAGAGGGCCTGGTATCCTCAAATCAAATCAAATCAAATCAAATCAAACTTTATGTATAAAGCACTTTTCATGCTCAGGAAGCAACACAAAGTGCTTAACAGATTAAATTGACCCATACAACACACATTCCCTCACTTTCCCACACTTAAAACAATTGCGACAGTTTCACCCCCAATCCACAAACTATTCCCACACACACACACACACACACACACACACACACACACACACACACACACACACACACACACACACACATACACACACACACACACACACACACACACACGCACACACGCACGCACGCACGCACACACACACACACACACACACACACACACACACACACTTGTACACATAACACATTAAAAGACCACAGTAAACACTAGGCTGAGCTCAGAATGGACAGGTAATGAAAGACACACCATCAAGGGAGCCATCTGCCTCGACAGCAGCAGATCCACGGCAGCAGCCAAGACACCAATCCAGGGCGCCCTGGGAGGGAGGGTGGCAACCCCCACCACCACCTGGGCACTACCCTAGGACCACCCCAGCCGCCGCCACTGACCACCGGTCCCGAGGCAGAGGGCTCCACAGAGGAAACACTGGAAGGATTAAATACGTAACATGTAAAATAACAAGAGTTAATATGGAAAATGTGTCAAATGTATGATGTCAAATATCCAATAAAATGTGATTATAGACATAAAACCTAAATGTGTAACCCAACAGTAATTAGAAATAAATAAATAAGTAAAACAAGCAATGTAATAAATAATAATCAGTTCAAAGCTAAACTAAAAAGGTGGGTCTTGAGCCTGATCTTATAAACATGAATGTTCTCTGCGACCCTGAGATCCTCCGGCAGCCCGTTCCGGAGGTGAGGGCCGTAATAACTAAAAGATGCCTTGCCGTGAGTGTGAGTTCTGCCCTCTACCTGCCTGCAGCCATTTCCTGGTTCAGAATCTGACAAAAAGCCATAAAACTGAGCAGAATATCCAACAACAACACATTCTTTCATCTGAGATGTGTTTCTGTGGAGCGTATAGTTTACCGTACACCCTTTACTGATCACCTCATGCTATTTTCATCATGAGTAAAAACTGTGCTCCTCCATAACTTGGTATGGCGATGAGCAAGTTAACTAGATATACCCACCATAGAGTTCCTTTTATTACAGTTTACAAGCTATCAGATTTCAGACCAGAGGTGATTTGGATTTTCAAGCATCTCTATGGAAAGCACTGCCTCTTACTCTGCAGATGTTAGCATCTGTGAAGGCTGTTTAAAAAGCAGCTGAAGAAGATGCACTTGTTTTAAAGGCGTTTGGTGCCTAGGGTATTATGGGTGACATTCTTGCTTGTATAGATTTGTGCTGCCTGGATTTAGTGCTCATGCTTGCTTATATGTGACTGTTATTTCATCCAAATATTTATTTAACCCACTGCAAAGTACCTTGTGTATTTGTTTCTGTGAAAAGTATAGATTACTAAATTTCTCGTATTTCTACTGGACTTCATTTTTTACATAAAATCTCCTTTACATATCACAGGCCTTGGTTCCTGGTGTGGGGTTTGTGAAGATTCATGCTCCCTGGAATGTTCTGTGTCGAGAAGCCGAACTCATGAAGCTAAAGATGCCCACAAAGAAAGTAAGACTGACTTATTTTAGCCACTGCCAGTGGCGCCATGTTCTCAGTTCTCTGTACTGTTGTATTGTTTGTTTGTTTGATTTGAACTACTTCCTAGAATTAGATTTACTCATACTTTACTTCAACGTTTCCCACTACCCAGATCCTCCCACGTGTTGATCTCTGCTTTGGTTGTTGGTAAAACAACTTCAGTCTCTAGTTCACTGATAGTTTATGGTCAGTGGAAAGACGCTATAGTTCAAACAGAATTGCATGTTGCCTTTAACCCTTTTGAAATAGAAAACAGATTGGAATAAATACATAAAAATATAGTGAAAAATCCAATAAAGTAGTGAAATAATTGAACAACAAAGCTTCTTTTCCAGCGAATATATATGATTTATGCTTTTAACCAAGCACTTCCCTTCCATTCCCAGCCCCTAAACCATAACGAAAAGGCAACACAATGTAGTTCCCTATGCTGACATGTTGTTAGCAAATGAGCTTTAGTTTTGCCCTGACTCGCTCAAAGGAATGATGAGATTGGACTCCTGTCAAAACGCTTCATATGTAATAAAACAGAAGGATTACGTCATTAGTAAAGTAGTTGTACTTCTAGTCATAATGCATGGGTGACAACACCATCATCTGACTAATTTCAGAGGAAGATGAGTCTGCATAACAAGGAGAGGTCCAGAAACATGATGTTCTGCAAACAATCTGTATCTAAGCACCTCAAAAAAACAAAATAAATCACTCTGGACTTCCAGTACAGCATCTCTGCAAGGTTTGCTAGGTATCCTCTGCACTTCTTAGAATACTTTGCCACTTGATGGTACATCAGATTCAGTAGGGCCCAAAACATCTTCAAAAAACCCTCCCAGCCTGTTCACCAGAACCAGCCGACTGAGGGACAGCTTCCTTCCCACAGAAGTCAGAACACTAAAAAAATTAATAAAGTCATCAGTGGAATCAATTCATGATTACTTGTTAAACGTTACTACTGCTGCAACAAACTATTTACCTTTTCTCTTATATCAGGGAGTCAAACAACATATAAGTGAGCCCAAACAACTCACCAGTTCCTGTTTAGATCCTGTTTACCCACAGTGTTTATAAAAAATACTTCCCATCTCACCCTCCACGGGTGGTCTCATCCTTCTAAGCTCTGGTGCTCTACTAGAGGCCTGGGAGCTTGAGGGTTCTGCAGTACCTTAGCTGTTCCTAGAGCGGCACTTTTCTGGACTGAGATGTCTGATGTTTCTGCTAGGATGTGCTTTAGCCTCTCCTCCAGTCTGGGGGTCACTGCCCCGAGTGTCCCGATGACTACGGGTACCACAGATGTCTTCACTCTCCAGGCGTTCTCAAGTTCCTCTTTGAGGCCCTTGTACTTCTCCAGTTTCTAGTGTTCCTTTTTCCTGATGTTGGTATCACTTGGTATCGCCACATCAACCACAACAGCTGTCCTCTCTTGTGTGTTTACTACCACAATGTCTGGTTGGCCCACCATCACCATTTTGTCAGTCTGGATCTGTAAGTCCCAACAGGAGCTTGGCTCTCTCGTTCACTTAGCCTTAACCTTACACCTTAGGGGGTGTTACCCACTTTGACCTTGGGGCTTCCAGTCCATACTCTGCTCAGATGTTTCCGGACACGATGCCAGCCACTTCCATGTATGCTTTCCCTGCCAGCATCTCACACCCTGCAGTTATGTGGTGGACGGTCTCAGGGGCCTCTAGCCTACACCTTGGGTCTTGTCTGGTGTGGTAGATCTTGGCCTCTATTGCTCTGGTTCAGGGACTGTTCCTGTGCAGACACGATGAGAGCCTCTGTGCTTTCCTTCAGACCAGCTCTTTCTAGCCATTGGTGGACATTTCAGCGAGACGAGGATCCCAAACACAAGATCAGGGAAACAATGAACTGGTTTCAAAGAAAGAAAATCAAGTTGCTTGAATGGCCCAGCCAATCAGCTGACCTAAACCCCACAGAACATCTACGGAGAGAATTGAAGATCAAAGTTCCTGAAAGAAGCCAAAAGAACCTTCAAGATTTGAAAAGCTTTTGTGTGGAAGAAAGGGCCAGAATCACTCCTGAGCAAAGACGATTGGTCTCTCCATAGAAGGAGCTAGAAGCTGTAATCACCAACAAAGGCTGCAGCGCGCCAAGCTAAAGACCAAAGGTGACAGATCATCTGCTGCTGTGGCCCCCAGACTCTGGACCTCTCTCCCCCTGAGCCTGAGATCAGTGGACTCAGTGGTCTCCTTTAAAAAGCAGCTGAAGACTCACCTGTTCAGGCTTTTGCGTGACCTTCTGCTGATTCGTCATCACTATCTTCTCAATCAGCTCTTTCTACTAAATCTGCCTTTCACAAGAAAGGCCTTGGTCCACTGACTACCCCTTCTAAACAAATTTTCTTTTCCCCTTTCCTCACATTTTTATCACAATTTATACTTTCCTCATTTTTATGATTTTTTTAAATGATCTTTTTTTAGCTGTTGTTCTTGGGAAGTGCCACATAATTTTGAGATTCTTCTTCTACAAAGTATTACATAAAGTGAGTCCAATACTTATTTCCTGTCATTTAACTTTATTTATTATGACTCAACTTGTATTCTTAAATGTTCCAATTTCTTTGTATGAATTTAATATTTGGTTTGATGGCAACATTTGATGCAAATTTTGTGACCAGAGCAAACTTTGAAATACAATTACTGATAAAAATGCTGATGTGTCAAATACTTATTTCCCCCGTTGTATAAAAACAAGTAGAATCAGAAAAAAGCACAAAGAAGCAGAGGAACGTTTTAATAAAACAAAGCAATCTGTGGCTAGACTATGACAAAAATATAAAAAGTTCTTTGAAATATTTTTCTTCACTTTTAAAATGTATGTCATGTTCTAAAATTAATGAGTGATGTAAAGCATGTATATCAGTTTGAAGGACCTTTTTATTCTCAACAGTGATTATCAGTATTTGTCAGAATGATTGTGCTAAATGTGTTTGTTTCCTCAGGTCTATGAAGTCAAACAATCAACCGGTGTTGTAAAAACAATCAGCTCCTTGGTCAATAAAGCTCTGGAGCTGCTTCATCCTCATGTTGATGAACATCAACAAACAAGCATCAAACACCTGTCACACACTTTCTCCAGGGACAAGCAGCACCTGTAAGTGCAATCGTTGGATCTGATGAAAAAAGTGTTAAACATTTATTGTATTAAGGTGTAAACATGCATCTGCAAAAGCTAGACGACTTACTGATTAAATATATATATATATATATATATATATATATATATATATATATATATATATATATATATATATATATACATATGTGTGCGTGTGTGTATATAAATATCAATACACACACACACACACACTCACACGTCAGGCGCTGACGGGTTTGGCCACACAGTTGAACGGACTGGGTGCGGGATGGTGTGACATAAAGGAAAGGGTAGAACTGATGTTGAGAAGATCTGAGCGCGTGGCATAGATAGATTGAATGAACTGATGACTGAGCAGCAACCGAACGAGTTTCACTTAGAGTTCCATGATGATGGGAGGTACACCGGAAAGCTCTGGCAGTCCTGAGAGACCAGGACTCATAAAAGCAAACAGGGCTATGATGGTACTTTACTTGTCCTCAAATACAAAACAATTATCTTGCTAAAGGAAACAAAATTGGCAAACCTAACTGTTATGTTATGGGGTGACGGTGGCACAGGAAGTGCTCAACCCATAATTGGAAGGTTGCAGGTTCAAACCCAACTCAGTTTGTCACTGTCGTTGTGTCCTTGGGCAGGACACTTAATCCCCCTTGCCTGCTGGTGGTGGTCAGAGGGACCGGATCACTAGATCACTTGTTTCACCATAAAACGTTGTTCTGTTTGATCACACATCACAAACTTCAAACATTCCTCTGTGCAGAGGGAAAAGCCCTGAAATGGTTCTGCTGGTTTGAGGAGCTCAATTCACAAGATTTTACCTCTCGTCTCGTCTTCTTCCACCTATCCGGGTCTGGGTCGCAGCATCCCAACTAGGGAGTTCCAGACCGTCCTCTCCCTGGCCACCTCTACCAGCTCCTCTGGCAGGACCCCAACTGGACCAGTTCGGTGATGTACTTTCTCCAACGAGTTCTGGGTTGACCAGGGGGCCTCCTGCCAGCAGCAAACACCTCCCTGGGGAGGCGTCCAGTCGGCATCCTGACAAGATGCCCAAACCACCTCAACTGACTCCTCTCGATATGGAGGAGCAACGGCTCTACTCCGAGTCTCTCCCAAATTTCCAAGCTCCTCACCCTATCCCCAAGGCTGAGCCCAGCCACCCACAGAGAAAACTATTTTTGGCCGCTTGTATCCACGATCTTGTTCTTTTCGTCACTACCCAAAGCTCATGACCATAGGTGAGGACTGGGCGGAAGATCGACTGGTAAATCGAGAGCCTTGCTTTTGGGCTCAGCTCCTTCTTCACCATAACAGACCGGTTCAGCGTCCGCATCACTGCAGAAACTGCCCCAATCCGCCTGTCCATCTCCAGCTCCCTCCTTCCCTCACTCGTGAGCAAGTCAAAGTCCAAGAATTTATGTTTTGGATGCCATCTCTGGATTTAGTGATTAAAACTAATCTAATTGAGTATGCAGAAATAGTAACTGTCTTTTTAAATTCTACTTGAAAGCCTATATTATCATAGATCATAGGATCTACACTTATCAGACACCAGTGATCCATACCTCTTCCTTCAAAAGCTAGGATTGGCTGCTTTCAGATCAAGGGATAGGGAGTTTTTCAAGGAAGTTAAGAAAAATACCAGAACAGCCATAAAATCAGCCAAAAGATTGACCAAGAGAAAGTCACTCAAGGTACCTATGGAAGGGTCTGCAAATCATCACAGAGTAAATAATTATTAGCTTTACTAAAATGACCGCATCACCCCTGATGACCTGGTCAAGTTTTATGCCCCCCGTCCCTCAGACTCAGGCCCATGCAGCTGTGAGGGAGATAAAGCCCCGATCCATTCCACCAGCTGTCTGAGGCTGTGTTTTAAAATGTAATACAGGCTGGGTCTACTGGCCCTTGTTAAGTCCGGCCTCAGCCAGCGTTCTCCTGTTTTTACACACATCTATGGCCTGTCCTGTTTAAAATGTCTGCTCTCTGATGCTGGTACAGTTGTTTTCTTTGGATGTAAAAGTCTCAATATAAACACAGCTACTGAAAACTGTTTTTATGTTTGTTTCTGGGGTTTACCAGGTTTGACCTCTCGGACAAAGACAACTTCTTCGACAGCAAAACCAGGAGTTCCATAGTAAGTTCAGGTTCAACACAAATATACAAAATATAAGATTTTGTTTTGGCACAATTATTTTATTTAGAACAAAAGTTGAAAGAAAAATGAAGCCAGTCCTGTTCCATTTGTTGTCTTTTACACTGTCCAACAATGTAGACACGGTCATCCTGGAAGTAAAACCAGAGTGCCAGTCAGAACTTGGTGCAAACATGCATGTGGCTGTACAGCTGTGGCTTTCTGGCCTGAGCCTAACGTTCAGTTAGAAGATCCCTCACAGCTTTTATGAAAAGTTGAAGCACTGAAGAGATGCTAGTCAGTTGAGTTTATTGTCAAAATCTCAGTTTTTACCAATGATGATGTTCATTTCAGCTGAAGCTTTATTTAACATACTGTTTAAATCTATTCTTGAATGATGAAATTGTGCCTCTGTCACTGGCAGCTCTTCCTGTTGCTGCATCTAGTTCTTTTTACTTCAGTAATATAAGTATTTTGATTCCATGGCAGGTGTTTGAAATACTAAAAAGGACTAAATGCAAGGCTGACAGTGCAGGTAAGTCTGAATCTTTGTTGTCTTCCTTCTTGGCTAACGTCTTCATTCCAAATTCCAACGGACAGATGGTTTTATACTTATTCAAGCACTTTATGGCTCAAGTTCTTGAACTTTTCATTTTCTTTAGATAAACAATTTCAATCAGAAAAATTGAAAAGGGACTGTCATGGATTTTATCAATAACCATCAATAACCAATTTCCTGTAGTGAAGAGAGAAGGAGACAATGAACAACAAGTCAAGCAGTTATAACTGTGGCAAGATGCCCGAAGCATAATGCACCAAACATCCGGTCACAGTTTATTTATAACGAGGGAGAGAGAGTGTGTGTGTGTGTGTATGTGTGTGTATGTGTGTGTGTGTGTGTGTGTGTGTGTGTGTGTGTGTGTGTGTGTGTGTGTGTGTGTGTGTGTGTGTGTGTGTGTGTGTGTGTGTGTGTGTGTGTGTGTGTGTGTGTGTGTGTGTGTGTGTGTGTGTGTGTGTGTGTGTGTGTGTGTGTGTGTGTGTGTGTGTGTGTGTGTGTGTGTGTGTGTGTGTGAGTGAGTGGCTTACTGCAGCTGGGTACGAGTGTGGACTGATTGGGTGCCAACTATTTGAAATATTAGTTCGTTTTTGGAACAGTGAACTTAGTTCAAACATTTTTTTAATTATGAACTAAGACATGAACTAGTTCGTTTTAAAATGTATGAACTGACCTTTGAACTAGTTCGTTTATTAAACAAACTTCCCCAACACTGCTTGACACTGGATAGTGTAAAGCTCTATATGAACATTAATATTGATTGACTGAACTCTGTCGAGAGCTATACTCTGAAACTCTTATGTCTTCATATTAAAACCTGAAAAGATCATTTCTCCTAATGCACGATGGCTAGAAGAGACAAAATGGTGAAAAAAAACAGGATTTGTTTGGTTACATTTCAAAGCAGCTTTCAGAGTACACTCGCGTGGTATTGTGCACGCTCTCCTTAAATATCAACAGGAAGACCACTGCCCTCATGTGACAGAGCAACGGTTTTTGTATTGTAAACAGTCTCACTCATTACCACAGCTCATTTGCTTGAGCAACACATTTTACTTTCAGTTTTGGAGCAGCTCATTCATTGCTTATTCCTATGCAGTTTTTTCAAATGGGGGGAAAAAAGACGTGTTCTAAATTCTCAACTAAAAGAACAGTGGACAATGAAAATGACTAGTTTAAAGATCAATATAACAATTTGCATTTATTCTTCCTCCATCCAGCACCAAGAGACCCTGGCAATGATAAAGATTTCCTGTTAGAAACAGGGGTATGAGACCAAGCACATGGATTTTGAAGTTACATTTCCTCAAAAATCTGAAACTGTAAGAACAGCAAAAATAAATGCAAGGAAGTCATCCAACAAAGCTGCAAGATGAATTTTAGTTACATCTGTGCAAATTATTAGCCAGCGAGCAGTCTTGCCCTCATTTAGATGATCAGATTTCTAGAATGACAGGGCCGCTTTTAAATATGATGGCAAGCCATCCCCATTTTCTGTAATATTTAATCTAAAATTAGCATTTTGTGGATGTAAAATAAAAATCTGATTATTGCACAAATCACATCTCCTGTCTTTTAGTCTCAACAAATTTCCCTCAATGGTTTTGGCTGATTGTCCCATTTTAATAATAATAAGAGCTCAGCAATAAAACAGGAGTCCGAACACCCTCCACCCCTCGCTCTGTGCAGCGCACAGCCATTACATCAGACCTGTCAGCTGATCAAAAAAGGATGAACCTCCAACTTTATTTTAATATTGTCAACAATATTAATGCTGCAAAGAATCATTTTACCTGCAGTTATTCACTAGTGAAGAAAACAACTCCTATGATTTTGGCATGCAGCTCATGAAAACCCAAAACTCCTATCTCAAATAATTAGAATATTTCATCCAACCAATAAATGAAAAGTGTTTTTAATACATAAAAAAAGTCAACCTTCTAATAATTATGTTCAGTTATGCACTCAATACCTGGTTGGGAATCCTTTTGCAAAAAAAATGACTGCTTCAATGTGGCGTGGCATGGAGGCAATCAGCCTGTGGCACTGCTGAGGTGTTATGGAGGCCCAGGATGCTTCGATAGCGGCCTTAAGCTCATCCAGAGTGTTGGATCTTGCATCTCTCAACTTTCTCTTCACAATATCCCACAGACTCTCTATGGGGTTCAGGTCAGGAGAGCTGGCAGGCCAATTGAGCCCAGTAATATCATGGTCAGTAAACCATTTATCAGTGGTTTTGGCACTGTGAGCAAGTGCCAGGTCGTGCTGAAAAATGAAATATTCATCTCCATAAAGCTTTTCAGCAGATGGAAGCATGAAGTGCTCCAAATCTCCTGATAGCTAGCTGCATTGACCCTGCCCTTGATAAAACACAGTGGACCAACACCAGCAGCTGACATGGCACCCCAGACCATCACTGACTGTGGGTACTTGACACTGGACTTCAGGCATTTTGGCATTTCCCTCTGCCCAGTCTTCCTCCAGACTCTGGCACCTTGATTTCTGAATGACATGCAAAATATGCTTTCATCCGAAAAAAGTACTTTGGACCACAGAGCAACAGTTCAGTGCTGCTTCTCTGTAGCCCAGGTCAGGTGCTTCTGCCGCTGTTTCTGGTTCAAAAGTGGCTTGACCTGGGGAATGCTGCACCTGTAGCCCATTTCCTGCACACGCCTGTACACGGTGGCTCTGGATGTTTTTACTCCAGACTCAGTCCACTGCTTCCGCGGGTCTCCCAAGGTCTGGAATCGGTCCTTCTCCACAATCCTCCTCAGGGTCCAGTCACCTCTTCTCGTTGTGCAGCGTTTTCTGCCACACTTTTTCCTTCCCACAGACTTCCCGCTGAGGTGCCTTGATACAGCACTCTGGGAACAGCCTATTCATTCAGAAATTTCTTTCTGTGTCTTACCCTCTTGCTTGAGGGTGTCAATGATGGCCTTCTGGACAGCAGTCAGGTCGGCAGTCTTACCCATGATTGCGGTTTTGAGTAATGAACCAGGCTGGGAGTTTTTAAAAGCCTCAGGAATCTTTTGCAGGTGTTTAGAGTTAATTAGTTGATTCAGATGATTAGTTTAATAGCTCGTTTAGAGAACCTTTTCGTGATATGCTAATTGTTTGAGATAGGAATTTTGGGTTTTCATGAGCTGTATGCCAAAATCATCAATATTAAAAACAATAAAAGGCTTGAACTACTTCAGTTGTGTGTAATGAATCTAATATATATGAAAGTCTAATGTTTATTAGTACATTACAGACAATAATGAACTATATCACAATATGCTAATTTTTTTAGAAGGACCTGTAGTTTTATGTTCATCCTGTTAGAAAATTTGTGAACAATTATAATAAAAAATAGAAATTAAATAAATGTATTTTTAGTGCAAGTACCCCTTTAAAACTCTGTCTGTCTGGGTGCTTCTCTCCTGTTACCAACACAACTTTTGAGACTGAGCATCTTCAGACACTCGAGGAGTACAGACACTTCCCTCTTTCGCTCCTTTATTTTTTTCTCAAGGCTCTTTGTCCTGTCTGCCCACAGAGCGCTTCTCTGCATTTCTTCTGAAAAACTCTATTTTTACTAACCATGGATTTGATAAACTGGTCATTCAATGTGATCGATAAGATTTTTTCAACAATGAGAACAGAGCAGGGGGCTCCCACATGTCCACAGGGGACACCCGGTGGGGTATATGCTGGATTCCTGGAAGGAATGGAAGATCAAATGTCTCTCCCAGCTGTCCATTGAGGACATCGAAGACGTGTGGATATTTGGTCTGATGATCACTGGATTTCTCCTGATTGGAGTGGGAGGATATCTGGTTTTCTGGAAATTTGGGAAGACGGGAGCGATTGGAGGGCGACCCGCACCCACGGAAAGCACCGTCCGTGTGGAGACTTCACAGACTGGGACATTACTTGAGGTGAATCGTAAGCTGGACAATGTTCTAGCTGCGATACCAGTATTAGTGCACAAAATGGATGTCATCTCGGAGAGAGTCACCGGACGGTATGGACAGGTTTAAAAACCCAAACTGGCTTCACTGAAGGAGTAGAAATGATCAGTTTGAAGACTGAAGGCAGAGAGGAAAATTATCTCAGCCTGACCCAAACAAATTCTTATCTGAATCTGACGCCCTGGTAGCCTTGAGCTGCAAGCAACAAACCCCCACGAAGGAATGCAGACAGATGCTGTGAAAACCCGGCCTACAAGAACCCCCCCCACCCCACCCCACCCCCACCCGCCTTCGGATTGGTGGACTTCAGCCTGGCGAGGTCATCAGCTGGAGGAGTCAATGTGCTCTTTGCTTCTCCCAAGATCTCCCTCTCACCTGTGACTGTACAGTAGATGAGCGCCGTAGATGGCTGCTCTCGCTGGGGGAAACAGGATCCCAGCCCCCCCCCCCCCCCCCCCCCTTCCTTTCTATTGGAGTCTCATGTTACGTTGTGTTGTCTGAAGTCTGTAGCATATCTGTTTGAGGTGTTTTTTGCAGAGCACAGCTGCCCTCCTGGTGGAGGGTAAGTTTGAAGTGCCTTTTTTCCCCTCCACCTGAACCAATTCCTCATTTTACCCTCTTATCTCTATTAATGTAGCGCGACTCGGGTTGCGAATGACCACAGTCACCAATTCTTGTCATGTGTCTTGCCCATGTATGTCTGATCTCTGAATTGTGTGTACTGAAACTCTAATTTCCCTTTGGGATTAATAAAGTATTGATTAGTTGATTGATTGATTGATTGATTGATTGATTGATTGATTGATTGATTCATTGATTGATTGATTGATTGATTGGTCGATTGATTGATTGATTGATTGATTGATTGATTGATTGATTGATTGATTGATTGATTGATTGATTGATTAGTCATTTTGATAACACCTCCTTCTGTTTTGTTGACAGGACTCAGTGATCTCCTTAGTAGCTGTGTTTATATAGCAGCTTACCCACTTCATGATGTAAGTACCAGTGTTTTATTACTCTACTGTCAAGTGTATTGGAGTTTTCTCACAGTGTTACATTTTTGTAAACACATCACATGTGGCTGATGGGATGGGCAGGTTTAATTCACTGTGTAACCAGTGTGTTTTTTCCTGTTTGTGAGAAAAACCCCTCCTCCGTAACCACGTTACTGGTACGGAAGCCTGGAAAGGCCAACATTCCTCAATCGTATTTTTCCTACTGACTGATAAGAATTTATTGAATAGCACAGAATAGACTTTATTAATCCCACAGTGGGGACATCCAATCATTACAGCAGCACACACACTTGGAGAAAAAGAATAAGATTACGGGTAAAACTGATTCCAGCCATGTTTGCTTTCATAACTTCAACAACTTCATGCTGTTGACCCACATGAACATAATCCTCTGTTTAGTTTAGCAAAAATAACAACTGTTAATATTGTAAATGTCATGGTATTTCCCACCCCTGGATGACATTTTAATTAATTTACATTAATTATGATTAAAAGTTCCTGTGTGTCATGCAGCTGTAACCCTTTACTGCTGATAGATAGATAGATAGATAGATAGATAGATAGATAGATAGATAGATAGATAGATAGATAGATAGATGATAGATAGATAGATAGATAGATAGATAGATAGATAGATAGATAGATAGATAGATAGATAGATAGATAGATAGATAGATAGATAGATAGATAGATAGATAGATAGATAGATAGATAGATAGATAGATAGATAGATAGATAGATTTCTTTTCAAGACACTGATAATCAGTTTTTCCTTGTTTGTTTTTCAGGGTGGTATTAATGAAGAAAGTGCAGAGCCTAATGACAGAAAGGTAAGAATGATATTGACGAAACCCTGAAAGTCAAAAGAAGTGGAAAAAAACTAGCCTACATATTTCTTTCGAAGTTCAAAGTTGAGACGGGGGTCAGATGGATTTTGAGATGGGCAGTGGCCAAAGGCAGGGAGCTTGGCAGTCTGATCTTCTGCAACAGAACCATTGTGATGCTTGTACATTGGAGTTTGAGAGTGAGATGGAAGCCTGCTTCCGCCTACATGTGGGGAGACATGTCCTGACTGTTCTGTGTGCTTATGCACCAAACTGCAGTCCAGACTACTCATGGAGTGTTTGGAGGGGGTACTGCAGAACGCTTCTTCCGGACTCTCTTGCTCACCTGGAGAACTGCAGCGCTCACAAGGGCAACAACAGTGAGAGCATGAGAGCTGGAAAGGTGTGCTTGAGAGTAACCCCCCCAGCCCCCCGATCTGAATCAGGACGAGTCCAAATGGGTAATGTTCTGTGCGTCCATTGTCAAGTTGGCCAGCCACAGCTGTGGCCGCAAGGCTGTTGGTGCCTATCATAGCGGCAACCTCCAAACCTACTGGTGAACACAGGCGGTTAGGGATACTGTCAAGATGAAGCAGGAGTCCTATCATGTCTTTGTGGCCTGTGAGACTCCAGAAGACGCTGATGGGTACTAGCAGTCCAAGCGGAATGCAGCTTGGATGGCTGCAGAGGCAAAAATCTGGGGGTGGGAGTAGATCATTGAAGCCACGGAGAAAGACTTCCGTATGGCTTTGAGGAGATTCTGGTTAACCATCCGGCATCTCAGGTTGGGACAGCAGTGCACTAATAACACTGCTTGTATTAGGGACCATGTACTGTTGACCTTGACTTGGGTTGCTGTGTATTGATGAACGGAGTGCTTTGAAGACCTTCTTCAATCCCACCGGCACACTTCCAGTGAGGAAATTGAGTAAGGGGACTTTGGGTCGGGCTCTCCAATCTCCAGTGCCGATGAGGAGATTCAAAAGCTCCTCTGTGGCAAGGTGTTGGGGTGGATGAGATTTGTCTAGGGTTCCTTAAAGCTCTGAGTGTTGTGGGGCTTTGTTGATTGACGCAGTTCTAACATTTTGTGGGCAATGATGGCAGTTCACAAAGTGTGTGTGTGTGTGTGTGTGTGTGTGTGTGTGTGTGTGTGTGTGTGTGTGTGTGTGTGTGTGTGTGTGTGTGTGTGTGTGTGTGTGTGTGTGTGTGTGTGTGTGTGTGTGTGTGTGTGTGTGAAGTGGCAAAGAAAGGAAATGAGAATAAAATGTGTCATAAGTATCTCTACTAACAAAGCTCTTTGTCACTTGAAATATTGGCTAATAACAGAATGGAAGAATTCTTTTTTAAATCATTATAAAATTAAAAGTTTTATTTTTCTGCACAGCTCCTGTATGAAGAGTGGGCAAACTACAGTGTCTTCTACAAGTACCAGCCAATCGGACTTGTTCGGTAAGTAAAACTGGCTTAATATGTTGTCAGATCCACAGTTCTGTGATTTGTTATTGTCTGGTGATCTTTGAGACATTTTACCCTTAAATGCACATTTGAAATAGTCAAGTCCAACAGTTAACTTTGTCTTCATTTTTGTAACTGCACTATGCCTTACCCTAACCCTAACCTTATCTACAACTGAATTAACACCAGACCTCTAAAACCAACTGATAAGCTTAAAAAAATGTGAGGACCAGAAATATGTCCTCACTTTGTAGGGAAGATAGTGAAAATGGTCCTCAGTATGTCGTAAGTACAAGCACACTCACACACACACACACACACACACACACACACACACACACACACTCACACACACACACACACACACACACACACACACACACACACACACACACACACACACACACACACACACACACTCACACACCACATTCTCAATTACTTTAAGATGGCAGCTTTCCAAGTAGAGTTTGTGGATGCTTTTATTTAGTCAACAACAGCATCAGCATTTTTTATATTTATTGACTTATTTTTCTTCTTGTCTCTCTTTAAGAAAGTATTTTGGTGAGAAGATTGGTCTTTACTTTGCTTGGTTGGGTCTGTACACCCAGATGCTCATCCTAGCATCTCTAGTCGGAGTCATTGTTTTTCTGTATGGATGTGCAACAGTCAATGACAATATACCAAGGTAAGCTCAAACACATGCATCTATGGGAAAATAAACTCTGCTCACTTGTTTTAATGCTAGAATTTGAAATATCAGCTACAGTATTTATAAAGGTTACTTATGTAAAACCAGGATCTGAAACCTGCATAAGTATGTTTCCCTGGAAACGTTGGGATTCATAAAGAAAACCTTTATGGTGAGATGGTAAAGACTCTTAAACCCCTGGGTGCACACACAAATCCAAAAGTCAAATCTTTAAACTGAGAATAAAAATAACACCTGTAATTAAAATAAAAAAATAAATTTAATATATTATTTTCATATGTCTTCAAACTAATACCAGGCGTGACCAAGGCGCCATGCTCCACACCAAGTGCGGCAGGGGGAGGGGAGGCGAAGATGTACAGCATCAAAAGAAATCCCAGGAGAAGGGAGGAGTCAAAGGCCCCACCTGACATATACAGTCATACACAAACACAGTCACACACTCCGTCCCTCATGCTCACACATACACATACAGCCAAAGACTTACATGAATGCACGCCATACACCCACTCATGCTCCCCATACACACCCTATTTACTCTGGTCCCGGTACTGCTGCACAAAGGGTACAACCGGTTCCTAGAGTTCGACCCTTTCTGCTGGGGTGCTGATGAGCAGGCTCCCCTGCCCAACGCTGAGCAAAGCAACCCACCACCCCAGACCCCAACCAGATGGCCAGATCCCCCTCCTAGCCTCCAGCCTCGGGAAGCCAAGCGGCAACAGAGGTGTGCTAAGACCTCTAGTCTCCCTCGGCCTGCTCCAATACAGTGTTAGTGTGTGCTGATGAGGTGTATTACATGGCTGTGGTAAGCAGGCATCATCTGGCCTATGCCAGCTCACAGACATGTCTCCCACTGTAAAGTTGAGGAACACCACGTTCGGCAAGGTCATTTGACTTGAAGAGAAAGGATTGATGTTCATGGCGCAGGGTGTGAGTCCTAAGACGTGACCCTGTGCAGCTGCAGTCATGCGGACCTGCTCCCAGAGAGAGCTGGACGTGATGGTGAGTCCGTGATGCCCTCACATTCAAATGCCCCCTCCAGGGTCACCGGAATGTGAGTTTTTTCATTAGGACCGTCACGGATGATTTTGCAGGGAAACCTTAGTGGAAGTCTGATCGGTGAGCTAGGCTCGCCGGGTCTGGTGGCAGGTGCTAGAGGACCAGCCCAGACGGAAGCGACCACAGCAGACCTCGCCGAGGTCTCAGGTGTCAGCGGACGCACCGTTGTGGCAGGCTTAGCCTCTGCAGAATCTAATGCTGCAACCAAGCCACACGCAGGTTTGGCAGGTGTTGGAGGATCTGCCGCAGAGATGTACAGAACCGACTCACGTTCTGTCGAATCTTTCAACAGGTCAAGAAGTGAGGCACCCAGACCATGAATTTTTCCAGGAGATTGGCTCCTAGAATCAGTTATTGGCCTTGGGGCAGGACTGTAGTCCTTGCGACCACTACGCGGTGAGTTCTGGCCAGAAGGAGCGTGGCTCTCACCTCTGCCAGGCGACTCTCTCCTGGAGGAGTATGATGGACTCTCCTTTTCTCTAAAAGAAACATGATGTTTATCAGACCAAGTCGTGGTGACTTAGGGTCCCCTCCACCAGCCGGTGGAGGGGTCCGAGGTCTGTTAGAATTCTGGGGCTTGTTATTAAGAAAGCCTCGCGGCTTAGAGTTGTTATTAGATTTCTGGGCCTGTTGTTTAGCACCATTGTTGCAGTTTCTATTGATTGAGCATTGGGCTCACATTATTATTGGCAATAACAAAGTTGTTTGATTATGTGTTTATCAAGAAAGTTCTTCGTCTTGAGCTGTAAAAGGTAAAGCAGTTCAGATGAGCAGAGGGCATGAAAGACCTTTGCCAATATCTCATGTAGATTAGGCCAGACGCAGCAGATCATGACCTTTAGGTCAAAAACAGGACATTCATGACGCTACACCTGTGTTGAACCAGATTAGTGGAACACATTGGTCTGAACTTAACTGAATGGTATAAAATATGAATGTATTGAATTAAATCATGGATGTGGACATATTATACAAAACTCACCTTTTGCATTCTTTAGTGCATGGGGAATGAATACCATTGGAAGGAACTGTACACATATGTGCTATCCTTTTACAGTTTTTCTCTTACCGTCTGTAGCGCTATCAAAACGTATCTTCATTTGAAAAAGTACATTACAATTGTTGGTAGTATACAATTGCAGTAGCTCTGACATGTTTTGTAACAGAAGAATCTTTCTGGGATGGGGTCAAGTTTAAACATTTGAATGTCTTATTACGGTATATGAAGATTTTCTTATTGCTCAGAGCCCAACACAGCATGAGCCCCACGAACAACCAAATGAACAAATTCCTGAGTGGGAACTGATCGAAATAGATTTCAGCATGCAACAAAATCATGAGTAGACTGGGTGGGTGCACAAGTCCAGAGACACTGCAGGTTCTAGGTTGTGCAGTGCATATCGAAAGTTTACACACAACACCCTAAAATGAAAAAAGTTTGTTTGAAATTGTGATGAACTATGAATACTTGATTTTAATTGGCTCAACAGAGATAGAAAGGCATCATGTGTCTTGCATTGCTTGGTTCTAAGTGGCAGAAGAAAGTAGCAGAGTGTGGAAAGTGGTCAGTATGTCCTCCAGCTGTCTAGGCCTAAACCAATGTAACTACAGAGATAACTGGATAACCTGGGGGTGGTCAGAAGGACCAGTGATGCCAGTGTTTGGCAGATGTTGCCTCTGTCAGTGCATGCCAGGGTAGCTGTGGCTACATTGTAGCTCATTCCCACCAGCGTTTGAATGGGTGGGTGACTGACTGTGCTGTGAGCCACATTGGGGGGTTGTAGAACCCTCAGTAAAGCACTACACAAATACAGGCCAATTACCAGGCCATTTAACCTAACCTTTTAAATGGAGCAATGTGGGAGGCAGGGCCAGGAAGAATCGTCTTCACCACCTGTATTCCCCGCTGTACTCTCCATCTCTCTCTGCTCCCCCACTCATCCAAACATGGGCAAACATCAGATTTTAACCTAATAATATGGGGAGGGGGTCGGAGATCATCTTCAGTGTTCCTGTCACAGTCTCAGCAGCTTCCTACTGACCAGTTTTCATCAGTTTTCCCCTCTCTGCCTGAAGCAGCTTCATTTCTAAGGCTTGTTTTGCTGAGAAAGTTCTTCTAAAAAAGCCGTTAGCTATTTCACACGGAGATTATTGTTTATTGTTTACTGTGCTATTTGGATCCCCATTAGCTTCCACAGCAGCGGTTGTTAATCTTCCTGGGGTCCATTTTCAAACTACAAAATACATTTAACAATACAAATGATTAAAACATTGTAAATTATTACATTAGAATTTTAAAAGCTGTAGTGGCCAAACAATACCATCGACAAGATCCCCGATAACTTACAGAGCTCTCTGAAAATACCCTTCTTCTCGTTCTATAACAACTGCAAAAACAAGACAATAACAGAAGATGATTTTAATAGAATAGCTTGTTTTTATGTTCTTCTGTATGTTTATTTATGTTTATATATTTAGCAGACACTTTTATCCAAAGCGACTTACAATTTATAACCTATAGGGCATGTTGTGATCTGTGGGGGAAACCGGAGTACCCGGAGGAACCCCACGCATGCATGGGGAGAACACGCAACTCCACGCAGAAAGGCCGCAGCCGAGTTTCGAACCTGCAACCTTCATGCTGCGAGGCAACAGTGCTAATCACTGCGCCACCATGCAGCCCATGGTGGCACAGTTGTTAAACCATAGTTAAAAGAGCCATGATTTTGGATTCCCCTAACACAACCTGGTAGTTTATTCCACTCAACAGTCCCTCTATATAAAAGGGTTTTCTTCATAAAATTATTTCTAGGTCTTGGCACTATCACCATGTTATTGCTTACCAAGCGTGTTACGTGCTCATGGCAATACCCACTAAGCAATATTTTGTCTTTCATATGATGATGAATACTATTAGTCACAACTAATAGCACTATTAGTTTGAAGAGAGTGAGCAAGCTGGAAAGTTGGTTGCTTAGCAACAGTGACTATGTCTGTCATCCGCGGGAAAACTTTATCATGTAAACAATAGAGCCGTCAGACTGACGGCTTGTGGGAGACGAAGACAAAAACAACTACCTTATAATTGTTTATTGAGACATTATTTTATGGAAAATATAACACAAAAATAAGAAAGCCAGAACAACATGAGATCCATCCAACTAAAGTTATTACATATCAAAATATGAAAACAGTCAAAATGACTGCCTTGGGAGTTTTTGTGTACATTCTGTGGGTTTCCCGATAGTAAGGAATTACAGTAATCCAGTCTTGATGTAATAAATGCATGAACTAGTTTTTCAGCATCACTCCTGGAAAGGATGCTTCTAATCTTGGCAATATTCTGGAGGTGGAAGAAGGAAATCCTACAAACCTGTTGAACGTGACATTTGAACGGCATGTAACACAGAGGTTCTTTAATTAATGCTGTTGAGATCAGGTGATTGACTAAGCAGTTCACCTTTTTGAGGTTACTGTTGTGTTTAAGCTCAAACCATGATCTTTTACACAGTACGTGTTTCTGGTCCCATTGTTTGATCAGGTAAACATTACATGTGCATTTGATCAATTTAATTGTTCTTTAACTGAACAGAGAAATACAGCTTTGTTTATATACTTTGATGTGTAAATTCCAGCATGGAGATCTGCCATCCAAAGAACAACATCACAATGTGCCCTCTGTGTGACAGAGTGTGTAGCTACTGGAAACTTAGTACATCCTGTGGAACTGCCCGTGCCAGTTACCTGTTTGACAACCCTGCCACTGTTTTCTTCTCTATATTCATGGCTTTGTGGGGTGAGCACTAATAAATTAGCTTTATATTTATGGATTTATGAGTTCTCCTGAGCTAAATGTCATGACCCATTTATTCTTATTCCTGTTTCAAAGCCGCCATGTTCATGGAGCACTGGAAGAGAAAGCAGATGCAGTTGAACTATGAATGGGACCTCACAGGGTTGGAAGATAAGGAGGTGAGTGATAGCAAACTCACACAGCACACAATTCATAATAATAACACAAAGCGTGAAGTTGATTGTCATTTTCTTTATGAAGCACTTAAAAAACAACGGGAGCGGCACCAAAATGTTAGCAGTTTAAATTACGTACGAACGTAAAAGCACATTTTATATGTTTTTTTAATTAATGCATGAATTAGTCAGTGTTTACCCATCTGATCCATCAATATTCACTCTCATGTCATTTACTAAATAATTCTCATGAGCTCAGACCCAAAAGTAAAGAGACATTTGGTTTTAGCCAGTTTTATCTTGTCCAAGTGAACTTTTAAAACCTATTACTTTGGATCCTCTGCACATAGAGATCATTACAAGTAAAATAAGTTTGCATGTGATGTCATGCTACTCATGGTGACACCAGTTTAGTTGTGACCAACGTCAAAGGAACTTCGTAACCTATATTGCCGCACTAACAGACAAGGGTGTAAACACAGCTTGCCTTTTGTAAGTTTCTAAAGTTTGCATGTTTTCTACCCCTCTGCCATTCCTTTTGTAACTGATGCTCCTTTTAGCACTCGTCACTGTACTTTTTAACTGGTCATTTTTGCACACCTGTCATAAAATACATTGGTTTGTGTTAATTTACAAACTCTTCTTGGATTGTAGCTCAGGGGGTAGAGCAGGCTGTCCAGTAATCGGAAGGTTGCAGGTTTGATCAAAGCTCCGACAGGAGAATGCTGCTATTGTGTCCTTGGGCAAGACACGTAACCCGCCTTGCCTGTTTGTGGAGGTCACAGGGACCGGTGGCGCCAGTGTTCGGCAGACCTTGCTTCCATCAGTGCGCCCCAGGGCAGCTGTGGTTACATTGCAGCTCATCATCACCAGTGTGTGTGAATGGGTGAATGCCTGATTGTGTTGGGAAGCACCTTGAGGAGTTGTAGAATTTTTAGAAGGTGCTATACAAATACAGGCCATTTACCATTGAAAGTCTGCTAATATCACACCTTGCTTTCCTTGGTTTGGCTCCATGACTTGCTGCCATACTGTATGTGACTTTTGTTAAACCATCAGACAGAAACTAAACAGGAGGAACAGTTGTTAAGGTTTGTGTAGAGCATCCATCATCAGTTGAGTCCGTAGCAGAAAGAGCAGAGGAGAGCTCAGCACATTACAGTCTACATGAGAAATGTTAGAGAAATGTTAAACAACAACACTCATCTATCAATGTTGTTTCTACTGCACATACACCCACTTGGACAGATAATTGATTATTTTAATAATGTCTCTAATCACCTATATGTAGATGATATTCAGCTGTACTGCTCCTTTAAGGACTCTGAGCTCTACAAACTGTCTGAATTACTAAAATGTCTATCAGCTATCACCAGCTGGCTAGAAGAAAACTTCCTCCAGTTAACCCTCTGGAGGCAGGCGTTGCAGATTTGCAACGTTAAAACCTATCTGGTTACTCCACATAGGTATTTCATGAGCATTTTTTTACTCAGAAGTTCCCCTGAAGGACTTAGTTGTTCGTCCTTTTATCAAAACTTATTTTGAGCCTGAGAGGGTTAAACTCTGAAAAGACTGAATGTCTGATCATTGCCCCTGAGAGCATGGTTCCCCTCATTAGTGTAAAACCTGGTCATTTATCCTCTGCTTTCAAGCCAAACTTAAGGAATTTGGATGTGTTTAACCAATCAATGTCTCTTGAAGGTCACTCAAAAACATTGGTCTGAAACAGTTTATATCACTTAAGAAATATCTCGAAATTGCAAAGGTTGGTGTCAAAACATCAACTTGAAATGGTTCTCCATGCTTTTATTTCCTCCCGTCTAGATTACTGTAACACACTCTTCACATGTTTTAACAAAAAAGCCCTTGACCACCTTCAGGTAGTCCAGAACTCTGCAGTGAGGCTCCTAACTGGAGCAAACAGAAGAGCACACCTCACTCCTATTCTGGTGTCTCTGCACTGGTTACCCGTTAACTTTAGAGTTCATTTTAGAATCCTGACTAGAACTTTCAGGGCTCTACATGGTCAAGCTCCTCCCTATATTACTGAACTGTTAAAGCCTTATGGTCCAACCCGAGCCCTCGGGTCCACACACCAGAACCTTCTAGAAGTTTCAAAGACCAGAAGCAAAGGTCGAGGTGATCGCTCCTTCCAGACTGTTGCACCCCGACTTTGAAATGATCTTCCTTTATCCTTACGTAGCGTTGACAGTCTGGACACTTTTAAAAACAGCTAAAGACCCTTTTATTTAAAGCTGCTTTTACCTAAATCTTTTATTTTCTTATGTTTAACTCAAATTTGCAATCATCTTTCATTCACTTTATTTTTTCTGATGTTAATCTATTTCTGTTTTTAGATCATTATGTTTTATTTTGTTTTGATCTATGTGATGCACTTTGTGATTCTGTGATAAGTGCTATATAAATAAAATTTACTTACTTATATTAAAACCTAGATGGCTGGAAACTTTCTACAACTGAATGAAAATAAGACTGAAATCCTCTTCTCTGCCCAACACAATTGTAAAAATTTAATTTAATTATGATTATATAACACTTCGTATTAACTCAGAGACAACAGAAGAGAGATTCAGGTTTTAAAAGTTTAAAGATTTATTACTAAACAAATTAAAACTAGACTAACTTTAAACACTAAATTCATGGTGTAACTAAGGTGAAGTGAGACGGAGAATGGTGTAGTGTGGAATGTTGTTCAGAACCAGCAAATCCGGAGAAACGATTATTTCTGATGGGAGTGAAGGTGATGTCTTCATGCTAAGCTTTGATTTGGAGATTCAAAAACACACAAGACACCGTTTTTGTCACTCCGCACATACCCTTTTGGAAGTCCCCGTTAGATCAGGAATGTCGAGGTCCAGCTTGACCTTCTATGGAACTGAAGCCGGTAGGAAAAGCAGCGGTTGCCGACCAGACCAGTCTTGAGATACTCCCGGGTCACGACAGTTTTGTTGGCGTATAGCAAGACCCAAAACGGGGTCGTGATGGTTCAGCTTTTATTCTGAAAGGAACCGTTGCAGCAGGTGGAACGGCAACAGATTTGATCCAGCTTGTCGTTGGTTATTTTGGCTGAATAGGAAAGTTACGGATTGGCCACTCCGTCAACTTCTCTAGAACGCTTTGAACTGGCGTTAAAGATGGCGTGGGCATAGTTTTATAATTTGGATGTTTTGATTTATGGTCGAATGAAAAGAGGACCGATTTACCAAGCACCACCAAAACCACGCCTCTGTCAGATCTGGCAGATTCTGATTGGATCAGTAAAAGCAACGTGTGATGTGGCTTAACCTTATGTGTGATCAGTCTCTAGTGGAAACATTTAAAGTTATATTATTTATTATATTCTGTAGGATTATAATAAAGTAATTAATATTTTCATTTCACAAATTGGTTCACATTTTATTATTGACTAACACTTTGTTTGATTAACTTATTAAAAATAGAGTTATTTTATTTATTAAAAAGAAAGTCCTTTGTCCTCATTCTTCTCCTGAGACCTTGAGCAATATCTCATGTAGGTTAGTTCTTGCTGAGGAGAGGGGGGGAAATGACTTTTAGGTGGAAAACAGTCATTTCATTCAGTTACATAATCTAGTTCATTGACTTTATTACAATCATGACATTTTGAACAGCCTGAAAAGCCATTGCTAAACTCAATATGTATTTATTAGAGTAACTAAACCCCCAAAAGACTTTTTTTTGCTTATAAACTGTACATTTGGGTCTTTACAAATGCAATCTTTCTGTTTCTGAGCATTTTTTGACATGTTTGTGTAAACTTGATTAAATCTAGAATCTAGGTCTAAAAACGTCTCAGTGCTGCCCCCTGTGGCAGAGCAGCAGCTACTGCTGTTTACGGCTGGAACAATTTCTCATCATTGGTACAGTCTCCTCCCACTCCCCCTCCCTCCCAGGATGGAAATTCCCCACACTTGGCCATGCCACTCTGTGCCTCCTGGCAACGCCCACTTTCATAGCATTTTTCAAATCTTGACTAGGGGGTGCAGTTACATTTTCTGATGGTGTGCAGTCCAAAAGCAATCCTGGTACTGAATAAACCGTCAAAATAAAGGTATTATGAAACAACCCATTCAATAGATTAATATACCCAAGCACTACAAAACTGCCTATGTGCACTAAATTGTAAAAGGCCTGTATTTGATATAGTGCCTTCTAGGGTCCTGGAACCCCCAAGGCATTTTACAATGCAATCAGTTATTCACCCATTCACACACACATTCACACCCTTGTGGTGATGAGCTACGTTGTAGCCACAGCTGCCCTGGGGCGCACTGACAGAGGCGAGACTGCCTGCTTTTGCGGATTTCTAAATAGTCATACACAAGCTCTGAAAGGACTCTGTCATGTTTAGAGGGTGAGAATCCAAACTCTGGTTAGTGAGTAACTACAAGTTTGCAGAGAAGTAAAATGTTATACAAGCTTTTGTTGTTTCGTTATGTCGGAGAACTATTTGTTACATTTTAGTAGTAATGCTTGAACTAAAGAACAGAATAGAAAGTTGTTTTGCAATGGCAAATTTGGTTAGCAAATTAGCTCAAAAACATTTTTCCATGCCTCCTAACAATGTAATAATATAGTATAGCGGGGGGCACCAGTGTATGACAGCCTCAGCAACAACCCCCCACCCCCCCACCCCCCCACCCCCACCCCCTGGCAGCTGCAGGCCGGTGTGTGTGAGCGGATGAGTGTAACGTGCTTTGAAGTCCTCGGATTCAGTGCAAGTTCAGGTCATTTATTGTGTTAGATTTCAGATCCACACAGGTAAGACTGCACACAGCAGTAACAAATGTTTTTATTTTAGATTGAAGAGACCTCAGGTAGACATCGACTTCCTGCCTACGTGACCAATGTTGTCATGATGCTGTTAATGGTAAGTCAGCTTTCCCTATAGTGAACACCACTGATGCTCTGTGAAAGGTTCATTAAAGGTTCTCGTGTTTTTCCCGCTTGGTGTTCCTGTCAGATTGGTGTCACATTTGCCGTTGTGTTTGGTGTGATCCTTTACCGAATCTCCACTCAAGCTGCTCTTTACATGAGCTCTAGTCCAACATCAAGAAGCCACATTCAACTGACAGTTAAAACCACAGCAGCCATCATCAACCTGGTAATCATCCTCATTCTGGATGAGGTGTATGGCGCTGTGGCCCGATGGCTCACTGTACTCGGTAAGTGAACGGACTGAAACAGTTAGAGAGGCAGTTTGTGCCATTCATGCGAGCGGCATTTTGAAAATAACAATTCCAAGGTCCAAGCCCCTTTCCTCAGGCTCCCCTCTAGAGTCATAGAATCCGGTGGTTGTAGAAAATGGTATATTCCAATCTCATATGTACTTACGTAATAAAAATATTGTGACTTTTGTATTTATTAAGTATTTTTGGTTTTGAAGGGCTTAACAGTGTTCTCTATCTAATAACTTCTTTTGTTTTAAAACAGCAGGGATAAAACTAGTTGTATTCATTGAAAAGTACGAAATGTAAAGAAAAACTACTCTAAAGATTTTAACATGTGATAGATTAAATCATACACATTTGCACAATAAGTTATTTTTCCTTTAAATGTCTTTAGTGGTGAACAAATTTCTCTGATTGAAAACGTGTTTTAACTAATCTGCTTCCTTCCAGAGGCACCAAAAAATGAACAGAGTTTTGAGGAAAAGCTCATCTTTAAGACCTTCATTCTGAAGTTTGTCAATGCTTTTACACCAATTTTCTACACTGCTTTCATCAGAGGAAGGTTAGCCACACTGTGGCTGCATGTCATCGTTGTGCTTTTATTTGAATAGAAGCAACTTTATTTCTCTTCCAGACTGGTGGGGAGACCAGGACAGTACCTGTATGTGTTTGAGTCATACCGAGCAGAAGAGGTAAGGTTTCCATTTTTACACAGAATAAAAGCACAGAAGTGTTTTCAGGGACGTCACTAGGATTGAGAGATAGGGGGCTTAGCCCCAAGAGATTGAAGTTGAAAATTTTTTGCCAACTGTGCAGAAAATGTGTAAATTAATTCATTATTTGAAGAACATTTAACAGAACCTGTTATTTTATCATTTTCTTTTCCTTCCTTGCCTTCTTGCATATATATATATATGTGTGCGTGTGTGTGTGTGTGTGTGTGTGTGTGTGTGTGTGTGTGTGTGTGTGTGTGTGTGTGTGTGTGTGTGTGTGTGTGTGTGTATAAACATTAAACATTTGATATTTCCAACTAAAGTTATTCATTCAGTCTACTGCAAGTAACAGGTGTGGTCATTAATTTAATTAGTTTCATTACAGCTTAGTTAAAATCCTACTGAAATCTGACAATAAAGAACAAATTCATAATTGTCAAAGCTTTATTCTGCCAAATGAGTATAGTTGAGACAGTTTAATATATATAAATAACATTGGTACATGGAACAAATGAGGTGTCTTTGAATTAACAATTAAAAGACAAAATAACAGTAAATAAAAACTATCCAGTCAGTAGTCCTCTTTAACCGAACAAAGTACAATTTAGCAGTTTATAGGGACGGGAAATGTGACTTTGGAAGTGAACATGGGGTCAACCTAATCATGACACATAAAATACAACTAAGCATCATTTTTGCAGCCAGTGGATGGTTAGGGTTAGGACTGCTGATGTTGAGCTGGTGACCGGTTGCTAAGCAATTAGATGAAATAGAGCTGTTTTTGATTGGTTGGCGGAGAGTCTACTTTGCGTTGTAAGTTGCATTGACCGAGAGCAGGGAGACGTGCAGAGACAGAGTTGAGTTGTTTGTTTGGGTAAATGAAATTATTGTAAATACTACAACAACAACTGATGAAATGATTATAATATATTATATATAAAAACGTCTGTCTTTCTCTCTGTCCCTCAGTAAGCATGCAAACTTAGGCTAGTAGGATGTTTTCCTCTAATTATCTGTACACACCAATAATAACACTAAGGATTGCAAGGCTATGAGCCAAAATTAATAACACAGAGGTGAAGGTTTATGCATTTAACAAAAAACGTCTTAACTAATAGTCAGGGCTTCTGTAAAATCTGATCTCCAGTCCACATCCAGTCAGAATTATCATCTCTTCTGTTTCATGATCAGGAGCAGCTGGGTCTTTATGGCGTAAACTTTATGCTCACAAAGTTGTTGTTTTTCCAACATCATGCCCACTTTCAAGTGAAGCACACTCCTTTTTTGACTTTTTGTTTCTTGTGTTTGCTCACAATCCGTATAACTGGTTGTCTCTCCTCCTCCATGGATCTACCTGTCTGTCGGAGCATTGAACCACCGGATGGACAGCTGCTGCTGCAGCTGTCAGTCATTGCAGGAATCCGCGCGGTGTCAGAAAACTCTTCTCTTTTATTTTCTCCTCTGCCTGAGCTGATGGTCACGCGCGGCACGCCTAGCAGCAGTGATTTTACGCAAAACGCGGTCCTTAATGGAGCACGTGCCACACTGTGGATGACTGGTGTTGGAGGACAAATATTTTTTTCAGAAATCTCAGAGATTTCCACAAATGAATACCCGGAAAATTTACCGGTATACGGACTGTACCCTAGAGAGCTGGGATGCTGAAAGGTTATAATTAGATTTTTTTCACCTTGTTAGTCATTTTCATTCCCGCTCATTGTCACCATTTTACGCTTAGTTTTTGAATATCTGATCAATAGAGCTCATTTACATCAGATTGCAGCTGAACTCTTGGTCCTAGTGCTCAACCATTTGATTTAATATAGCGTGCAGGGGACAAAATTGACCCCCCCCCCCCCCCCCCCCCCCCCCGATGGTGGTGCTTTCCCCCTGAAGGAAGGATTTAAAGTTCGCTGAACTTGCAGCCATTTTCTCCATGTCTGGTTTGATGATGTCACTTTGGTGAAGCGCATTCGTAGTCCCGGACTTATTTTCACACAAAATCTAAAATAACGTTTCCCCCGTTCAAAAATAATTGCGTTTTTGGTATCAAAATGTATCATTAAAATTCATGGACATCCATCCATCCATTTTTATCCGCTTATCCGGAGTCGGGTCGCGGGGGCAGTAGCCTAAGGCGAGAGGCCCAGACTTCCCTCTCCCCAGCCACTTGGGCCAGCTCCTCCGGGGAAATCCCAAGGCGTTCCCTGGCCAGGTGAGAGACATACTCCAACATGTCCTGGGTCTACCCTTAGGTCTCCTCCTGGTTGAACGTGCCCGGAAAACCTCACCAGGGAGGCGTCCAGGAGGAATCCTGACCAGATACCCGAGCCACCTCAACTGGCTCCTCTCGATATAGAGGAGCAGTGGGTCTACTCCGAGCCCCTCCCGAATGACCGTGCTTCTTACACTATCTCTAAGAGAGAGCCCAGCCACTCTTCGGAGAAAACTCATTTCGGCCGCTTGTATACGTGATCTTGTTCTTTCGGTCACTACCCAAAGCTCATGACCATAGGTGAGGGTAGGAACGTAGATCGACCGGTAAATCGAGAGCTTCGCCTTCTGACTCAGCTCTCTCTTCACCACGACAGTGGCCTAGTGGTAGAGTGTCCGCCCTGAGACTGGGAGATCAGGGGTTCGATTCCTGGTCGGGTCATACCAAAGACTTTGAAAAAATGGGACCCAATGCCTCCCTGCTTGACACTCCGCATTAAGGGGTTGGATTGGGAGGTTAAACCACCAAATAGTTCCCAAGCGCGGCTGTGTCTGCAGCTCACCGCTCCCCCAGGGGATGGGTCAAATGCGGAGAACAAATTTTGCACACACACCTGTGTGTTTGTGACAACTAATGGGACTTTAACTTTGACAGACTGGTACAACGCCCGCATCACTGCAGATGCAGCACCAATCCGCCTATCGATCTCACGCTCCAGTTTTCCCTCACTCGTGAACAAGACCCCGAGATACTTAAACTCCTCCACTTGGGGCAGGACCTCATCCCTGACCCGGAGAAGGCATTCTACCTTTTTCCGAATCAAGACCATGGTCTCAGATTTAGAGGAGCTGATTCTCATCCCAGCTGCTTCACACTCGACTGTGAACCGCTCCAGCGAAAGTTGAAGATCATGTTCTGATGAAGCCAACAGGACCACATCATCTGCAAAAAGCAGAGACCTGATCCTCAGGCCACCAAAACAGATGCCCTCCACACCTTGGCTGCTCCTAGAAATCCTGTCCATAAAGGTTAGGAACAGAATCTGTGACAAAGGGCAGCCTTGGCGGAGTCCAACTCTCACTGGGAACGAGCCCGACTTACTGCCGGCAATGCGGACCAAGCTCTGACACCAGCAATACAGGGACCTAACAGCCCGTATCAGAGGGCCTGGTAACCCATACTCCCGGAGAACCCCCCACAGGGTCCCACAGTGCCCCCCAAGGAACGCGGTCAAACACCTTCTCCAAATCCACAAAACACATGTAGACTGGTTGGGCAAACTCCCACGCACCCTCCAGGATCCCTGTAAGGGTATAGAGCTGGTCCAGTGTTCCACGGCCAGGACGAAAACCACATTGCTCCTCCTGAATCTGAGATTCAACAATCCGACAGACCCCCCTCTCCAGAACCCCTGAATAGACCTTACCAGGAAGGCTCAGGAGTGTAATCCCCCTGTAGTTGGAACACACCCTCAGGTCCCCCCTTTTTAAATAAGGGGACCACCACCCCGGTCTGCCAGTCCTGTGCTACCATGACAATTTTCGGACGTGGACACCACGTTGGCATCGGGCCAATGTTTATTGGGAACTGACATCCCACATGTAGAATAAAGTGGCACTAATAAGTGCAAACCGAGCCGAGCTCTGGTGTCACAACCAGAGTTAAATGATGCGCAGCTCCAGTCTAACAGGGACGGCAGGGGTAACCAGTATCTGTCTGGGGAAATTCCTCGTGGGCCAGTCTGGTCGGTGTTTTAGTCATCTTTTTGTTTTTCCGGGCCGGTGTTCAGTCACATCTCTGTTGATCACCTGCTGTCAGTGTGGAAGGAACAGGTGAGCTGCTGCCAACAAAGCTTTACTTCCTAGAAACTCTTTCTATGCACAGACAGTGACCTGTTATTTATAATATTATAATTAATAAGTTAATGAATACAATAAACCCACAGCACGTGATAGAACATAAGATTTAAAAAGTCTGAATATTTACCCCACAGCTCAGCTCTGTTATAGAAATAAGCAGATGTCTGCTTAAGCTGGGCATCATCAAATATAAAGAGTGTTCACAGATAACTTAATAAAAAAAATATTTTTTTCATTTTAATATTTATTTTATTTAAAGTTATCTAAGGTTTGGATGTCTGTGAACATTACATTTTTCTGATTAGTGTAAAAAACATAATAATATGCATGATGTCATTAATAACAGTCATGAAGCTCTGCCCTGGGCCTAAAGTCCTGCAGATACATTTAGTTTCTATAAACACCAACAATTCAATTCAATTCACGTTTAGTTATGAAGCGCCAAATCACGACAAGAGTCGTCTCAAGGCACTTCACAAAGTAAAAATTCCAATTCAGGTCAGTTCATTAAGCCAATCAGAAAATTTTTTTCCAATACAAGGAACCCAGCAGGTTGCATCAAGTCACTGACTGGTATGGTATGGTATGGTATGGTATGGTATGGTATGATATCCAAGAACATTATAGATACGAGAACAAACTACAAGTGTTTGAGTATGAGAACCGTATCCTGCCTGAGAACTTTTTGTAACACTGTTTTAGCGATGTTTGTTTTCATGTTTTTTACTTTCTGTTTTAAGCTCCAGCTGTTTTCCTGCTGCTGAGGTTTAGCTTTTCTTACTGTGATTCCTCTTTACAGTGTGCTCATGGAGCCTGTCTAATGGAGCTGTGTATCCAGCTGAGCATCATTATGTTGGGAAAGCAACTCATTCAGAACAACCTTTTTGAGATTGGAATTCCGTAAGTACAACCCAGATAATTAAACATTTACCACCGAACGTTGAAAGGCTTGTGTTTGTAAAGCTCTTTCAAGAGTTCTATGAGCCCCCGAAGCCCTTTCATCCAGTCACTCCCCCACTCACACACGCATTCAAACGCTAACATAGCAAGAGGTTATCATCCATGAGTCTCAACATGGTTTAGTGTTTTTCACACAATGCTGAGAGAAACTGTCTTCCCAAAACGTATTTTTACATTTTTCATATATTCAACACTATCAGTTCATTTATGTTCCTACATTCTGTTACTACAAAGTACCTCCCTGTCAGAACGTATCCCCCCTCTCAGTTCCAAAGTTTTGAAGTTCAGCTTATAATAAAAATGATCAGTTATTTCTGAGGCTCTTAAGTTATTAAACTCTAACCTCGAGTACAAGAAAACAACCATCTGTCAGCATGGTAGAAGAAGACTGATGATTTGGGCTTCTTCTGCAGCCACAGTACCTTGGTCGGCACCTTGCAGTCTTTGAGTGTACCCCAAACCTCTCTGGATATAAACTCAAATTAATTCTGTTTATTCATGTGCTGAATCACAACAGCGACAATGACTTGGATTCAGAGATACTTTATTAAGCCAAAGGGAATTTAGACGCTGTAGAAACTCATTTAAGATTATAAAAAGAGCTTTTCTAGATGGTTCTAGCTATGGGGAGGGGCGATTTCAGTAGCTGTTTATGTTGCAGCAGATCTGAAGAAGTGTCTGACTGATCAGTCTACGCTGATGATTCACTGTCTGGACATGACGATCAGAATTGTCCATCATCAGTGGTTCTAAATAAAACTTCATTCTAAGAACGTAATTTACATGACCAAGAACAACTGTATGCATTCACTTTGTCCTTGTCTGTGTGTGTGTGTGTGTGTGTGTGTGTGTGTGTGTGTGTGTGTGTGTGTGTGTTCCTCAGCAAGTTTAAGAAGCTGATTCGCTATCTTCGCTCAAAGCAAGGATCTTTTATTGAAGAGGAGAGGAAGAAGAAGCTGCACAGATACGAAAGCGATCACTTCCTGGAACCATTTGCTGGATTAGTGCCAGAATATATGGAAATGAGTCAGTAACACGTGACATTATTGCACAAACAACAATAACAACTTGAATACTGTTGACTACTGTTTCAGTGTTTGACTCGCTTTTGTTTTATTGGTATTTTTTGTTTATGCTTTTCTTACACAGTTTTCCCCACTTGACAATATCCTTGAGTCATCCTCTAGTTTGTGCAGACTTTAATTCTTGGTTAAATCTGTTTGAAATGGGTGTAGGTGGTAGCTTACCTTCATTGGATAGCAGTCAGTGTAACCAGAGCTAGACCATCTCCTCCAACAGGTCCAACATCTTCCTCCTGAATGTCAGAAACTGGCTTTGACCAGAGTTGTTGAGTCTTGAACTCAGGAGGAACCATGTTTGTTTTCTATTTTGGGGAGAGTTTTGGTTGTGAATTATCTACAAAAATGGCGCTGAACTCAGTGGGATTCATGTTTCTGTTTCATAGTCATCCAGTTTGGTTTTGTCACGTTGTTTGTGGCATCCTTCCCACTCGCTCCACTCTTCGCGCTGCTCAACAACATCATTGAAATTCGGCTTGATGCTAAGAAATTTGTGACAGAGCTGCGCCGGCCAGTGGCCACACGAGCCAAGGACATAGGTGGGTCTGGTTATAAGAACGTTTTAGTGACAATGAGTGATGTTGATCTGCTAATGTTTCCTTTTCTGTTGCCAGGTATATGGTACAGCATACTGAGAGGAGTGGCATTAGTCGCTGTCATCATCAATGTAAGTAAAAAAGCATCAAGATTCCCACACACACATATCTGCAGGAATCTAGTGGGCTATGTTTAACAGCATGAATCTAGCTGCGAATCTACAACTTTACTGTTCCTGCATGTGGGCGCAGAGGGAAGGGCAGGCGAGTTGCAGAGATGAGATGTAAAAATGAGAATTATATGAAAAATGTCCTTTTCAAGAATGAGAAATTTCAAAAACACCCCGACAACATCATGGTTAAATGCCACTGATGATCCAGTAAGTCATTTGAAAACATCCGTATGAGAAAAGATTTTACTCTTGATTTTATTTAACCAGGAAGAAAATCCCATTGAGATTAAAAATCTGTTCCAAGGTCAAGACTGGCAGTAGCAAGCAGTTCACCCAGTTAGAAATGTTTCACAATTAAAAACACAAACGGTAAGCAAACTAAATGAAACAGTTACATGTCATGGTGCTGTTCATGACGTCTTAGTTTAGATTTTAAAACACTCAACGAAATAAACTCCGTCATGTTCCAGTCGGCCTGCAGCTCATTCCAAGCTGAGGGTGCTGAGTGGACCAAAGCTCTTTAGCCAAGTCCAGTGCATGTAGGGCAGTGAGCAACAAATCATCTTGCAGATGAAGAGAATAGTGACTAGAAGGGAACGTATGTGAGAAAGCAGCAGTCGGAGTGAGTTATATATAAATCTGTATGAGTGAGTGCTCCTCCTGCTGGTTAAAGCAGGCCGTCCCACCTGAGGGTATAACTCAGAGAGGAACCTCAGAGCAGCACGTTCACAGTGTGAAATCAAAGCAGAAGCATTCATATAATAATCGAGCACAGAAAAAATGTTGCAGAAACCAGTAGCTTCTTTGCATTAACCCTCTCAGGCTCAAAATAAGTTTTGATAAAAGGACGAACTACTAAGTCCTTCAGGAGAACTTCTGAGTTATAACATGCTCATGAAACACGTGTGTGGAGTATCCAGGTAGGTAGGTTTTAACGTTGCACATCTGCAACGCCTGCCTCCAGAGGGTTAAGGAGAAATTAGTTGTTTTGAAAATAAAAACTCAGTCTTAACTTCAGCTTCTTCACAAGATTCTCCATGAGGTTTGAAGGTAAGCAAATTGTCAAGCCAACACCCAGACATCAGGACATGTGAACCAATGCTGCTTCGTCACCCTCAAGAGTGGTCACAGTAGGTGTGTGTGCGTGCGTGTGCGTGTGTTACACCCCTCCAGGCCTAGGATTACCAAGAGGGGCAACACAAGTGTGGTGGGACCAAACACGAGGACAATAAAAGTCAAAAGGAGTTTATTTAACTAAAAGTATCCCTGGCAGGTGAAAACTGGTCCTTGAAAATAATAAAGCCAGAGGTCTGTTTAAACTAGTCTCTTAAAAATATAACTAAAACTCTGGGCAAGGCCCCACACTCGTATAATACCCTCCCTTGGGTATGTTGTCCTCCTTTCGGTCCCGTGCTGCTCCTAACGTGGTCGGCGTCTCACACTCTCCTGTTCTCTCGGTCTCTCTCTCTCTCTGAGCGGATGGTTCTCCTCCAGGAAAAGATCCCCGTGTTATCCGTCTTCTCTTGTTCAGGTAATCCACGGATCGTGTATGTAATTCGTCTCCACGATCTCCGGCTGCAATTCTCTTCCGGAACACCGCTTCTACTCGGCTTTCGCTTCTCTGTTCCGTTCTGCGCTCCTTCTTCTAAACTCCCGAACTCTGTGACTCCTCTTCCGTTCTGCGTTCTCGCTCCTTCTGACCACTCAAGCGCTCTCTTCGCTTTTTGTCTTTTCCGTCCCGCACCTTCACCTCTACACTTCACATCCTTCACCTCTACACATCCCCACGTCCTCCGCGTCTCGTCTTCCTTTATAAGAAGTCCTGATGAGCACTGATTGTCCCCAGCTGGTGTCAGCGGGCCGGCGGGAAGGGTGAGTCTCGGCGTGCCTCTCTCCATGGTGCTGATCATGTCTCAGCGGGGCCAGAGCGAGGAGCTGTCCCTGGTGCGGTGTTTTAAAATAGAGCTCAGGAACGCAGTGGTCATAACAGTGTGTGTGTGTGTGTGTGTGTGTGTGTGTGTGTGTGTGTGTGTGTGTGTGTGTGTGTGTGTGTGTGTGTGTGTGTGTGTGTGTGTGATAACTTCACCGTGTTACTCACCGGTTGTGTCCAACATGTTCTTACACCAGGTCAGAGTTTGCTTGTTTTCCCATCAGGTTGTTCTTTAAAATCAGTAAATTTGCATAGAAAATGACCTCGTTAAGTAAGCCTCATAAATACAGCTTCTGATTGGACAAAAGATGTAAAATGGCTGCATGCATCTGTTCCAGTCTGTGAAACACAATTAACCACTTCATTTCATAATTCATTTGAATGAAAATGCCTCAAGGTGAGGGCTTTTCTTAGCAATTGTAGGTGAGATTAAAATGAGATTGATGAGATTAATTAATTACACATCATAATTAATCCCTCAATTATTTTGATCTCTTCACAGCACAATTTAAAATATAAATAAAAAATACTAATCAAACCAGGATGTGCTTCCATCTAGATTATGGTGAATTAACCATATATATGTTGTAATATTCTGAAACTAGAATGTTTATTTTTACTTGTAATATTTTTATTCAATTAATTAAAGAAGGCATTTTAATCTGAGCTTGGTGCATTTACACAAACATTAGTCTTAACCTTCCCTCCAGCTGGAAGCTGCAGAGAAGCAATCGTCTCATTCCTCATGTGTACTAAAGGGCAAGTGATGTCGTTTTTAAAGTGACGTCATTTTACCGTCTCACACACTGAAATCAGCTGCTCCATTCAGCACCTACCAGAATGAGCCACGTTCTGCGTTCGCACATGTAAAGGGTTAATTTACATTTATTTAACGAACCTTAAGACATGAGATTCCATAGTAAATATGAAATCATTCTTATGGATCTTTAGGTACTTTTAACCAGAACACTGGAACTTTTTATTGCAGGGATTATGTAACACTTCGTATTAACTGAGAGACAAGAGAAGAGAGAGTCACCTTTAAAACGTTTAAGAAGATTTATTTCTAAACAATTTTAAACAAGACTAACTCTAAACTCTAAGTGATGAATGAATCTTGGTGTGAATGAGACGTGAGATGAATGGCGTATGTGTGAGTGATGTCATCAGAACTCTCGTATCCAGAGAAGCAAGTCTGAGTGATGAAGTGATGTTTTGCTCTTAAGCTATGATCAGAGTTTCATGAACACATGAGACGCCATTTTGTCGTTCCACACATACCCTTCAGGATGAGACCTCCGTACAGATCCAGACTGCCAGGTCCTCAGACCCCCCTTTCGGTACCGGAGCCGATGAAACAGCATCAGCAGTACGACAGACTAGTCTTTGATTTGTCTCCAGGTAAAAAGCGACAGTTGGTTGACAGCGTCAGATGGACCTGGAGGGTCAATGAGTTCAGCTTTTATTCTGAAAGGAACCGTTGCTTGGTTGGTAAAATACAACAGAATTTATCCAGCTTGTTGGTTTGCTTAAAAAGGAAGTCCAGGTGGCCGGTCCGATACTTCGCTTAGCATGCAGTGAACTGCAGTGAACTCAGAGAACTGAACTAAGATGGCGTGGGGACTGGTTTTATTAATCTGGATGTTTTGATTTATGGTCAAATCAAAGTTGGACAGATTTATAAACACCACAGAGACTATGCCACACTTCAGAAAAGAAGGTTCTGATTGGACGAGTAAAAGCAATGTGTCATGCATTTACCTTACGTGTCATCAGCATGTCTAGTGCAGCTAGATTAAAGTCATATTACTTATTAAACTTACTAATCATAACATTGCCATTTCACAGATCGGTCAACATTATATTATTGACTAACACTTTGTTTGATTAGCTTTATTAAAAATAGAGTTCTTTGATTTATTAAAAGGAAAGAGTCCTTTGTCTTCATTCTTCTCTTGAGCTGGAAAGGAAGCAAATGCATGAGACCTTGAGGCAGTCTCATGCAGCTTAGTTCTTGCTGGGGGGGGGGGGGGGGGGCTTTTAGGTGGAAAACAGTCATTTCATTCCGTTACACACACACCCCAACAGAAGACTGCGCCCTACGGTCTTCTGTGAAATGCACGTGGAGGACGTGTGCAGTAAGGCTTCGAGCATGTGGTACACAAGTGTGCAAATAATTGCTGAATTGGGAAAAAGAGCATTTTGTCATCGAATAGGGATGCCAGGATGCTGGTCCTTTGCCACTTTTTTAAATAAAAAACTTTATTAACAACTTTCAAACAAACAACCAAACAATTATTTGAAATTAATTTACCTTCATTGCTGCTTTGTCTAAAACATTCAGAGCATCAATTAATTGTCCTAAAATGAACTACTTTGATTGGAAATACACATTTTCAGAAAAGGCACTTGAGCCTTTTCTCCCACAGCAATGGATTGTGGGTGATACCCTTCACTCAAGTCTGCATCGATACAGACTTGGGTGAAGGGTAAAAAAGTGTGATCAGCACTTGCACGACAGAGTCAGGACACCCTACACACTCACACCCCCGGCCGGGATTGTGCAATTGAAGGGCACATGTGTGAACATGCGAGTGTTGGAATTGGGCCTATGAAAACAAGCTGCTTGTGGCCATGCCCACCCCTCTCTTTATAGGCTGGGCATTTTTCACAGTAGAAATGGGGAATTATGGCCATATTTCTTTCTCTACCAACAGTGTTATAATTAAAGCTTTGTGTCACCTTCAGATGGTTTAAATCCAGAAATCACTTAGGCTCTGTCCTTCATGATCAATGATCTGCACTTTTATGGGGCTTTCACACCTGGGCCAGTTGAAGTTCACACCTACCTGTAGAGGGAACCTCTGATTGGTGGGTAGAATCAGCCAGCAGTGGCTTCCCACATGTGTGATTAATCATAGGTCTGAATGCAGTGGAGAAAACATCATGTAAGCCTGTCCCTGCCTACATCTCCCTCTTCTGCTGATCTGACACGAAGAGTGTGTACAGCTCTTCGGATAGTTTGCTAGCTAATCCTGCTGTATAATGTCCAAGGTTCCAGATGGTGTTCTGACCCTCACGAGTCCAGCTACTCAGCAGAAACAAAAGCAGTCTGCCTCAAAGTGGATTACACACACCACAGAGTTTTGCCAACTGTTGCTGGCTTTCTGTCTTCATTCATCCCACAGTGTCAGTCAGTCTAGGGCAGGAGCTTAAAGAGCAAGTCACCCCCAAGTCAACTTGTAAACCCCAAGTAAACCGTCAGTGTGGCGCCCTCTTTAGGTAAAAAGTCTGCTCTACATTTGAATCTAAATTAGTCGTTGTTTATTGGCTAAGCAGTGATTTTGATGTAACAAGTGTTTCTGATGTGGCTGTCAGATAGCCCATAAAGAGACTGCTGACTCACCTGGCCAACGCTCAGTCGTTGTTGCTACCCTTTCATGTCTGAAGCTTAATTCACCTCAGATTCACTTCCGAGAATCGGCTGTGTCGTTCTAAATCCACAAGACTACATAAATCACCTCCATCATCTTAGTAGTCCCGCTGTAATACCTCACTGACATTGGTATGCAACCAGGAGTCGCTTGTCCATTTTCACCCAACGGTAGTGCTTCCGCTCACTGCTGCAGCCCCGCCCTCTTGGTCCGCCAGGCCGCCCCTCCATTAGGCACAGTTTTGAAACAGGAAGAGTGGGTGGAGTGAGATAGTGATGGGGGTTGACCTGCTCTTTAAGAGCCTAAAACTCCCTGACCCAAACCAACCATGGCGTCACAAACTGATGCAAAAAGTCACATTTGCACAATGCGTCCTCATTAACTGTTTACTGCAAAGCTTAATAAATGCGGAAAAAACATCTGAATTGCAAACAGTATTTTTGATGGCTTTTTTCTTGGTGAGAACAATAAAAGATTGAACTTCTGTTACTTTCTTTTAGGCATTTGTCATCTCCTTCACTTCAGACTTCATCCCCAGAATGGTCTACCAGTATATGTACAGTCCTGATGGCTCCTTGCATGGATTTGTCAACCACACACTGTCCTACTTTAATGTCAGTCATTTCGAGCATGGCAAAGAAACCATGGATCCGTTACATCTTGGGTATCCTGTTGAAGTTTGCAGGTAGGAAATCAATCTTCCCTAACTAATTTCCACAGGTGCAGTAATACAATAACGTTTACCACCCGTGAGTGTACACATACATGCGTTGGGATTGTGTAAGCATGTAAATCCTGTTGTCATTTTGTCTTAAAGGTATAAAGACTACAGAGAACCTCCTTGGTCTCCCTCACCGTATGAAATCTCCAAGGAGTTCTGGGCGGTGCTGGCTGTGCGACTGGCCTTTGTTATTGTTTTTCAGGTAGTGTGAACTGAGTTGTAAACAATAATACCAAAAACCAATCAGAGTAAAAGTAGCAGCAGTTTGGTTTTGAATGATATCGTTTAACAGAGTTTATGCCTCGTTTGTTCCTGTGAATGGCGTGGCCGATGTGTGTCGCTTCTGGTAAAATGGCAGCATGGACATGTTGTTAATCCTTCTCTTACTGAGAAGATGATGTATTGTACTTAGGGATGGGTACCTTTGACATTTGAATCGATTCGATACTAATTCCCGGTACCTAGGAATCGATACCGGTACTTAACGGTACCAATTTTTGATACTTTTGAGTGTTTATTATTTTAATTCTCTTTTATAATAAAATATATTTTTTTCTCCATTGATAACCATATTTGATAAATATCACGATAAATAACATTCAACTGTTTGTATTTTAACATCGTCCTTGTAGTTTCATAAGCTGATAATTAAACTGAAGCAAACATCTTTACTGTGAACTAAATTTACTGTGTATATTCATTCCTTTTGCCGTCCTTTTTGAATTGATTTTTCCTTCTGGGAAGTTAGAATTTCCGAGGAGAAAGCGAACGCACCATTAGCTGATAACAATGGTGGCAATGGAAGCTAACATATCAAGCTAATGTTATCTTAAACAGTTTATTTAGCTGCTGGAGCAGATTAAAATGATGATGCCTCTCACTTAGATCATTGTCACTGGTTTCATCTTCACCCAATCACCCGTCCCATTTAGTAAAGTGAAGCCAAACTTTAGAGCGCATTCATGTTCTTCTAGTCAGAAATTTGGAGTTCCGAGGAGAAAGCGAACGCACCATTAGCGAAACGGAAGCTATCATATCAAGCTAACATTATCTTAAACATTTTATTTACCTACTGGAGCAGATTAAGATGAAGATGTCTCACTTAGATCATTGTCACTGGTTTCATCTTCAACCAATCACCCGTCGCATTTAGTAAAGTGAAGCCAAACTTTAGAGCGTGTTCACATTCTTCTAGTCAGAAATTTGGAGTTCCGAGGAGAAAGCGAACGCACCATTAGCGAAACGGAAGCTAACATATCAAGCTAACATTATCTTAAACATTTTATTTACCTACCGGAGCAGACTAAGATGAGGATGTCTCACTTAGATCGTTGTCGCTGGTTTCATCATCACCCAGTTACCCATCACATTTCGTGAAGTGGACCCAAGCTTTAGCGTGCGTTCTTGCTACCATGCTGCTCTGTTTACAACTGGCTCGCAGTGACCGACGACGTAACGCTCTTGCGCATGCGCAGCTGTCTTGGCAAGTTCTCATTATGAAGGCCGGGGACCGAAACGAGGCACCGTTTCAAATGACGTGAATCGGTGCTCAGTCGGTACTATGGATTTCGGTCGGTACCTTAAAAAGTACCGAATTCGGTACCCATCGCTAAATGTACTTAAGCTAACGTTGCAACACTGCACTGTTTGACTTCATGCTCAGTGCTGCATGACTAATCGTGTTGCAGAGTATGTTTACTTGAACATTTCTGAAACATTCATGTGGGGAACGGGAACTTTTAAATGATGAGCATGAATCAGTGTTCTAGCCCGAGCAGCCAGCCCCATGCTTCCTTATGGGAACTGTTCTCTGTGTAGACAGCGTCCGGCAGGCCAGACGTTTCAGGTTCATCTGTCAGCTGAACTCGCAAACGTTTTCATTCACAAGGTATCAAACCAGGTCTCTGTTGGTGTTTACCTCTCTATCAGACAGGTGAAATAAAATATTTAAATACCCATTAACAAGGAAGTTTAATATCAAATCAAATTTATTTTTACTATTTTTTATATATTTTATAAACATTAAGAGGCGATGCATTCTTATAGTTACCATTTTGGAGCAGTTCAGTTGGCTCAAGTGTGAATGAATGAAACGAACACCAGAGGGCACAAAAACACCAGACAGCGTGGAAGGGAGGCAGAGACCGTTTCTATAATCAGCCTTTCAGCTCAGAAGGGATGGTCAGACAGGATATGCCTGTTCAGCTGTTGTATCTGTTGGGATTAACAAGGTGAGAACTCAGTCTGGTCCTCAGGTCAGACAGAGGTGTACCACTCATCTGGACCAGCTGGTGCAAACGTGTCGCATAAAAATCCGACCGGTGACATTAATCAGTTTGTATAAGGAAGTTCAGCCTGCACCAGGCGGTATACCAAACATGTCCATGTGGATCTGAGCATATGTGGAAGTGACCTCCCCTTGACATGCCCCCTTTTAAATAAGCAAACATCTCCTGGATCTGTGATGTTCACCAGATGTGTGGGGATGAAGAGGAACCATACAGAACTTGACTTGGAGACACTTTTGAATGAAGAAGAGGTGCTGTAAACTTTTTGGTTGGCACACACTTTTATTAAGATAGTAGTTAATGTTTACTACCTTTTAAGGTATGAATACCACATACGTATGCAAGTCTGTCCATGTTAAGCCCTAAAAACCAGAACTCTGAGAGAGGTTCTGCAAAGGCATGGGGTGACGTGAGCCTGGCACAAGCCTTCTCAACCGTCTTTGGATGCATTTTTTAAATCCTTTCAAGACATGGTTGTATTAATTTTACGTTTACATGATGAACAGTTTCCTAGTCCTACCGCAGACAGACCAGCATGCTGTGACTGGACTACCAGCATCTTGAATTTGTGTCCAGGCTGTTTTGGTTTGAGGTTTCCAGTCCACTTTTATTAATAAAGCACGTGCTGCAACAACAGCTGCACTGGCATGTACTTACAGAAATGCAGACATGTGTAAAGGTGAGGTGATCATTACTGACTATTAGCCTTCTGTGTCACCATGTTAGAAGCACGACTTTAAATGATGATGATTAGAAGAGAACCTTTGGTTTATCTTGGCAGAACGTTGTGTTGCTGATGAATGAGGTTGTTGACTGGCTAATCCCAGACATCCCCAAAGACATCAGTCTGCAGATTCACAAAGAGAACACTCTCCTGGTCGACCTGGTGATGAAAGAAGACCGAGACAAGACCAGAGTGCCTGAGAGGGGGGCTTCATCCGGCACCAAGAAGACCTACAGGAACAACAACAATTGAAAACTTGCTGACATCAACAAAAACAAATTATTCAGTCATGTCTGCAACATTCCAGCCACTGACAGAGCAGCTGGGTTATGGGGTGTGACAGCAGCTAACTGTGCTTAAAGGGAAGTTGCCAGTGTCAAAAACTACTCAAGTAACAGTTACTTTTTTCTTTTCTTTTCTTTTTTTACAAATTTACAAGTCAAATTTTCTAGTAACGTGAACCGTGTCCACACTCAACACGTGAGAGTGTAAACTGTATGCATCTGTTGACTAACCACCATGCTGCTGGTAATAAAACGTAGAATTTCCTGTTCCTATGGTCCTGTCTAGTTACGTCGTTCTTTCTCAGAAACACAACATGAACATCACTGCTGCAATAGCGAGAAGTAGAACATGTTTCCATTAAAAGCTGGTTTTCTTCAGCACTGGCAGGAAGGATCTGAGCACGCCAGCATCCATCACAACCCTCAGAACCTCACAGACATGTAAATCAGTTATTTATTCATCAGGTCTTCACAGCAAAACATCTCAAAGACCTACCCCAGATCCAGGTCCAGATTCCAGAAACTTTTTTGCAGCATGTTTGATTCAGTTGTGACAAAATTTCATTTCATAGTTTCTAAAATGGAAATGAGTCAAACTGAGGAAATCAAAAATAAAGACTGTCCTTATTCCATAACTTTCACTCAGCCTGTATTTGTTAAAGCACCTTCTAGAGTTCTAGAACCCCCCAAGGCACTTTATAACACAAACAGTCACTCACACACTCATTCACCTCCTGGTGGTGATGAGCTACATTGTAGCCGCAGCTGCTGCTGACAGAGATGATGCTGCTGAGCACAAGCACCATTGGTCCCTTTACGTCATCACCCATCGGTTTTAGAACAGCTGAATCAAGGCCCATTCCTGAGTTTCACCCACGTGACTCTGCAGTCGTGTGAACTCAAACGGTAGACAGGAATTGTTTTGCTTCTCTACAAAACATGATGCGATGGATCATGAGAGCGATTTGACCAAGGCTTTAAATGAGCTGGCACAGACGTGATATCACAGAGTATACATCTTCCTTTAGGTCATGACCCATATAGTTTTAAAAGTCTGACTTTTCATACACTGTGGAGGATTTATCCAGCGCTGAAGCAATCGGTAACAAACTTCCTTGTGCTGCCTTCCTCATTTCACACTGCAAACCAAACGAAAGCCTTTTACAAGCCCGGAAGCCTGCAGCTGTTTTATTTTAGGTTGGTTAACCTTTAGTGATCCAGAGAAGCTTTAAATTCAATTCAATTCCATTAAAAAATACTTTATTAATCCCAGAGGGAAATTGATTGCTGTAGTAGCTCAGAATAATAATAATAATCAAGTCATCAAAGAGGTATTGTATATTACAATGGCTGCTGGCAGGAAGGATCTCCAGTAGCGGTCAGTGTTGCAGCGAAACTGAAGAAGCCTCTGACTGAAGACACTCTTCCGTTGTCGGACAGTCTTGTGGAGAGAATGCTCAGGGTTGTCCATCATTTTCTTGATTCTCTGGAGAATCCTTCTTTGCATTATCTCCTCCAGTGGTTCCACAGTCGTCCCCAGAACAGAACCAGCCTTTTTTATTAGGCTGTTGAGCCTTTTCAGGTCCCTGCTTCTGATGCTACTACCCCAACAGACGATGGCTGAAGAGATTACACTCTCAACAACAGACTTGTAGAAGATCTGCAGCATCTTGCTACAGACATTAAAGGACCTAAGCGTCCTCAAGAAGTGCAGTCTGCTGTGTCCCTTCTTGTAAACGGCTTCGCTGTTCTTTCTCCAGTCCAGTCTGTTGTCCAGGTTAACTCCAAGGTATTTGTATTCCTCAACCACCTCCACTTCTTCTCCCATGATGGAAACAGTGTTTGACTCCACCCTGTTTCTTCTGAAGTCTAAAATCATCTCCTTTGTTTTGTTCACGTTCAAGGTCAGATGATTGTTTCCACACCATGCCACAAAGCGCTCCACCAGCTCTCTGTACTCAGCTTCCTGTCCATCTCTGATACACCCGACAACTGCAGAGTCATCCGAGTATTTCTGTAGATGACAGGTCTCTGATTTGTACTGGAAGTCTGAGGTGTACAGGGTGAAAAGAAATGGTGAGAGCACAGTCCCCTGTGGTGCTCCAATGTTACTGATCACCTGGTTTGATGTGCAGTTCTTCAGCCTCACAAACTGTGGTCTGTTTGTCAGGTAGTCTTTAATCCAGGCAATAGTTGAGGTCCCCACCTGTGTCTTCTGGAGTTTCTGGCAAAGTACATCAGGCTGGATTGTGTTAAATGCACTGGAGAAATTAAAGAACATGACCCTGACAGTGCTGCCTGCTTTGTCCAGATGACAGTGGATTGGTTGAAGCAGCTGGATGATCTTCAACTCCAACTCCATGGTGATAAATGACCATCGTCTTGTTCTTGCTCAGGTAAGTATTGAGTCATTAGCTCATTATAATAAAGCTAACAACCAGCATGTTTATGCACTAGGATCTACTTGTAAATAACATGCCTTTTTGAAATCTAATTAGTAGTACGTTTGGCTTTAATAAAGTATTAACGCCGGGTTACATCCAGGGGCGTAGATGGGATTTTCAAACTGAGGAGGACAAAGGTCCACTGTATCCTGCCGCCCCGTGCACGTACACATACACAAACTATTGCAAGAGCCTTAACTAGAGCTCAGTCAGTTTGTGTAATTTCATCCAATGGGTTACGTAAAAACTAACTATTATATATGTTTGAAGCCATTGTGCAACAAAGCTCTGCCTGATCAACACTATCCAAGTCAGTCATTTGTTATTCTCCCAATCAGTTACTAACCAAAACCTCATGCTTTACGCTAAACATGTTTTATTTAATTTAAATATTAACAGATTCTCAGCAGACCAAACTTTACAGAAAATATAAAAAAAAACTGTGTAAAAAACTATGATATTCACTTATCACTTAGAGCAGTGGTTCCCAAACTTTTCAGCCTCTGACCAACAAAATTACAACGTATGAGGCCTATCACCCCGACTCATGGTTTCTTCAGATACTCTAGATTTGTTTTTCTGAGTTAGTTGTGCAATGGGAACACAAACATCAATAGCCAATATATATTGACTAATATGTTTTACTTTTATCAATTTGCTTTGATTTATAAAAAGTAGTCCCTTCCTAGTTGCCATTAGAGATGTTTTCATTTCTGATATTTACATTTTTTTCTCAAGAGGATTTCAGGACTCCACACTTACATGTTTGTGACCCCAAGTGGGTCCCATCCCCAACTTCGAGAGCTACTAAATCAGAGTGCCGTAACCCAATATCAGAGTTACTACGCATTACTTCACTCTTTGGACGCCAGAGTTTTTACAAGAAAATATAAAATGTTGACATGACTATTTCAAAAGGTTGTAGCTTGGAAATGGTTAGAGACACAGCTAAACTATAGAAGAGAAAAATCTTCAGTAGGACCCAAAGTTTGTGTTGGGTGGTGTCACGATGTGCGGAGGTGAGTTGAGCTGGTGGTGAGGATCCAATTGCAAGGAAAGAAGGCAGGCAGACACAAGAACGGTTTATCAAGGTTTTGATTAAGAACACGCAGACATGGAAGCAATGAACCAACAAGACACACAGAACTGAGAGGGTTTGAAGACATGAGGAGCTGGGTGCTTGGGTGATTGGAAAATGAGAGGCAGGTGGGAGTAATCAGGAGACACAGGACTGAACAGAGTGGGGAGACAGGACCGGTGTGACAGGGGGGGGCAAAGTTTGTCACTGGTCACTTTGGCAGCGGAGTTTGCTCTTTGATGTCACTGTTCTATGTGCATTTTTTTCTGTTTGAGGGCAAATAAAACCAACCAAATGAAAGTCACTTCCTGGATGACTAAGCATTAAGCAAACAGGTAGGAGCCTCCTATTGGATGATTACTGAATGAGTGATTATTCTTCAGCTGCAATAAGTGACCTAACCACAACTGGTGCAACAAGCTGCTTCTCGTTTCTTAAACAACCGGGTGGAAAGACACGTCTGGTGGTCGTGGCAAAGATGTTAGTCTGTGTGAGAAGGGTCAGATCATCGGCATGCATCAAGCAGAGGAAAGATCTAAGGAGATGCAGAAACAACTAAAACTGGGTTAAGAACTGTCCAACGCTTTATTAAAACTGGTCTGATGAGTCCAGATGGACCCTGGTCCAGAGTGATGGTGCATCAGGGTAAGAGCACCGCGATTGATAAGTGTGATCTTGTGTATCTAAACAGAATAGAGATGAAAGTGAACAAAGACACACACACACACACACACACACACACACACACACACACACACACACACACACACACACACACACACACACACACACACACACACACACACACACACACACACACACACACACACACACACACACACACACACACACACACACACACACACACACACACACACACACACACACACACACACACACACACACACACACACACACACACACACACACACACAGCAAGGGCACAGGGGCTGGGGTGGGAGGGGCTGGAAAACAGTAGCAAGCAGAAAATTCTCGCCTGATGTGGGCGGAGGAGTAGCGGGCCCAGTGTGAACTAGTGAGCGATTCGCTTCACAGCTGATGTGATCCCGACGTAAGAAAGAACAGCTGAAACAAGGACATGAGCTCAAAGGAACAAATGTGTATGTTAATGAATGCTTCATATAGAAAAAATGCAGTTAATCCTAAACAAGCCAGATCAATGAGGAAGCAGAAGAAGATCCAGTCCACCTGGACTTCAGATTGTAATGTTTTCATTCAACTGACTGGGCAAGCTAAAGTCCTTGTAATCAGGGAGATCTAGAGAAATACAAATGATTGATGGGATGTTGAACCGCAAACAACAGAATACCTACATGGCTAAAACATCAACCTGCCTGAGGATTCACACAGAGATATAGACCCAGATTATAATTCCTATAACAACCAGAAATATGACTGCACTCATTATTCAAACGATCGCTTTAACACTGAGATAAAGGTAGAAAATAATTTTACTGTGGTTTGTTTCAACAGTAGAATATCTACTGAATGCACTTTTTTTTTTACAGTGTCCTGTCTGGCTGTGAAGCAAACAGAATTGATGTCTGAATGCTGGTGACAAGCCTTACAGATTTATTCTCAGGTGGAGCATCAAAGCGTCTGCTTTTAATGTCACGCCTGATACTTAACACTTTATTGTTATTGTTTTTGCATGCTTTGTAATTCCGACCAGACACAGAGTCAGAGGTGAAAGAGAAAGGAAAAGACAAAAGGTGGGGAGAGAGGAGGAGGAGGGGGGGGGGTTCCACAAAAATAAACAATAATGAACAAGAGTCTGCTTCTAGACCTGCAGAAAAAGACAAAAAAAGCAAAAGAACAAAAAATGTGGGACACAACAACAATTCAACAAGATCTAGCTATCACTGTGTCAACTTGATGAGGAAATAAATAATCAACATTGTTTAACTGAAGAATCACGATAATAAATCACAGTGCATTTAGTGCCCACCATAGTCTTAAGACCTGTGTTTAACGTGCCCAAGTCCATACTTTTGAGAGCACCATGTGAGCACCTGTGTGTGTACACGCGCTTGTTTATGTAAGGTTTCTCTATAGGAGTGTCCAACAGAGAGTGTGAGGGACCACAGATCCGCCCCCCAAAGATGCGCAGGAGACGGGGGGAGCTCCAAGTCCCAGAGATCCAGGCGCTGCCCCAGAACACAGGAACCCCAAGGAGACTGCAACCAGAAAGGCCCCCGCCCCCCCGAGAGGCACAGAGGATCGCCCCGGGGGGCCACAACCAGCAGCCGGCAGAGTCCCGGGAGATATCAGCGGCAAGCCCACAGGCCCGCCCGCAGCCTCCCACCCCCTAGCCGGCCGAGCCCGGGACCCAGCGACCCGGGACCCAGGGGCTACCACCCCCGCCGGGGACCCAGCCGAGCCCAGGGACCCAGACCCCACCAGGCAGCCACCGGGATTGATCAGGCAGACGCCAAAAATCTTAAACCCCCAGGCCCGGTTGCCACGAACACTCAGGCAGACCAAGGCACAACCTGAATGTACTGAATGCACCTTTTAATGTAATAGCCATGTCAGAGACGTGGAAAGATCCAGAAAAATATCAAGATTTTAACTTACTGGTTATGAATGTTTGCATTTAGACAGCCAGGACATAAAGACGGAGGTGGAGCGGCACTGTACACTGATAAAAACCTGCATTACAGGTTGGTGACTGGTGGTGATGAAGTGATGGAGTGTTTATGTGCAGTAAATTATCTGGAAAGAGAGCAAAACATGACCGTAAACTGTATTTACAGAACACCAGGATCCAAGTTTGAAACCTTCAGTAATGGTGTTGAGAGACTGTCCGGTACTTTAAGCCAGGAAAACACATCATCTTCACACATGGACTGGCCACCACAGAGTCCAGACCTTAACCCCACTGAGAACCTTTGGGATGTGCTGGCAAAGGCTTTGGGCAGAGGTCAGACTCTACCATCATCAGTGCAAGATGTTGGTGAAACATGAATGCAACACTGGACGGAAATACATCTGGTGACGTTGCAGAAGCTTATTTAAACAATGCCACAGCCAATGAGAGCCTGAAGGTCCAACAACATAATAAAGACTGAGACTTTTTATCCTGGGTGGCAACTTTGTTTTTTGGTCAGGCAGAGTGTGTGGTTAGATGATTATCTGTGAAGTATAAGTGCAGAAAAACAAGCCACGAATAAAATCTGGGAAATGTCAGACCTGCTGAAGGTCTCTGAATAATTCTCTAAAACTTCAATCGTCACGTTGATACGAGAAATTTGGTTACTTGA